TGTGCGGTCACGTCGAAGACCCTGTCCATACGCATCTCCCCGTCGTCCCTCCCACACCACGTCATCATGATGGTCGTCGTAAATGGGTATGTCATTGTACATCGCATCGCCGTTTCTCGCGTTGCCATAAAATGCGCGGGAATTTAGTACACGCATGAGGGGATCCGCGCTTGGGGGTGGTCTAATAGTCCCACTGAGTAACTGCCGTGCTGACACTCGGCTATTGTAGAGTTTCTCATTCGCATCCTTCCGTTCCACTAGCATGCTTCCCTCCAAGCTGATACCTGCGAAGAGACCCTTCGTCTTGGAGTAAGAGAAGACTGCGGCCACGCCTTTTGTGCTTGCCGCTCCGGCAGCCTCTGCATTGCGTCCCACTGGTCCTGCGGCGAGCGAAACGTTACCGCCAAGAGTTAGTGTTCCCACCTGAGAAAACGTTCGGACAGCAGCGGCATCGTTGAGAATGAAGACGAAGTCAGTTAATTCGAATCCAATCTGACCTCCAAATCCGGCACCTGCGGTTGCGATAGCCGAGGGAGCAGACCAGGAGCCATCCGCCAAGCGGGCAACAACAACGCCCGAGCCAAATCGAGCGGAGCCTAGGAAACCGGCCTTGAGAACGGTGAGGACCGCAAGCCCCTAGCAAACCAGTGGTCAGTTTCCGACACTACTTGATCCACAAGCTGTAACTAAGTGTTTGTGAGGTCGTTCTTTACCTTAGCACCTGCTAGGATTTCAGGAGGAATGATTTTATCGGGACCAAAAGCTTGTCGAGGATCGATAAACGAGGCAAGAATTTTACCAGCCTTTCTACACTCGCCTGTTGTGTAGAAACAACGTTAGTATAGGACTCTTAAGACCCCCCTCTATGCGTAGTGCGGGGAAACTTTGGCGGGTAGTGAAATGAAACCTACTATTCAAAGATGAAGGCAAGGGATTGTGAATCCCGAGAGGCATTTTGACTGTACTCGCTAGGACCTGAAGGGTAAAGATGGTAGGAGGATTGGAGGAGGTTCTAGGAGACGACTGCGCCGGAGAAGTTGATAGCTGGATATTTTGCGGAGTCCGTTCGCCGTTCGGATGGGGAGATGACCGAGAGGTGGACCTGACTAAGTGACAGTTTCACAGTAAAATAAGGTCGAGATTTCCGCAGTTCCGGTTGTAAGTGAGTGGTGGGATTACACGTACACCGCAGTAAAGCATAGATGAAGAAGAGACTTTTACAAAATTCTTAGGCTAGAAAATGGTGGATTTCTTTTCAGGTTAATCAATTATCCATAGTTCAAGTGATCAATAGTTTTCGGAGGAGAGCAAGTTCCGCAAGCAGCAGCCTACCGCGGTATGTTTAGATTGGTAACTGAGTGGCTGGGTCGTTCTATCAATCGTTTGTAAACGTAAACCCCAGATTATAGTACCAATATAGTCATACATTTCCTACAGTCACAATATGATCGAAGCTTTTCTTCTATTAATAAAATTTGAAACTAGCCACATCGTCGTCGTTTTCACGTTACTAGTGATACATTAATGATTGATTCCAGCGAATGGTTGAAACCTGAGGCTGCAAGACGGCACAGCCACCGCCGAACCTCCGAGGATCACCGCAATAGCAACTGAATACCGAAAGAGCTTTGTCCAACCATTTGAGTCTCCGTTTTCCGATTACGGTGCTGCACTGACGTTTCATGAAGAATGCGTCTGGCAATGATTTGAAAAGGCGTTTTCAATCGCCTTCCTTTGTCCAAGATGGCTACAGGTGCGATAATACTGTCAACTACACAAGTTGGGGTCACGGGGCGACACTGACTCTTTCCAGTGCGAATTTGTGTTTGTGGAGATGAGGGCACTGGAAAGTCCAGTCTCATCACATCACTGGTGAAAGGGGTCTTTGTGACAAATAAGATCCAGCCAATTTTGCCCCAGATCACGATTCCTCCCACGATCGGAACCCCCGAGAATGTTACTACAACTACAGTGGTGGACACTTCTGCTGTCCCTCAAGAGCGGAGCAATTTAGCAAGGGAGATCCGGAAATCGAACGTGATTTTGCTTGTATATTCAGATCATTATAGTTATGAACGCGTGGCGCTGTTCTGGCTTCCATACTTTCGCTCTTTGGGAGTCAATGTACCCGTGGTACTGTGCGCCAACAAGTCCGATCTCGCCGCGGATCATAGTGAAGCACAAGTCATTGAGGAGGAGATGTTACCGTTGATGGCAGAATTCAAGGAAATCGACTCATGCATTCGGACAAGCGCGCGAGAACACCGCAATGTGAACGAAGCTTTCTTTCTCTGTCAAAAGGCGGTCACTCACCCAATTGCGCCCTTATTCGACTCCAAGGAGTCGGCTCTGAAACCGGCAGCCGTCGCGGCATTACAACGGATTTTCTATCTCAGCGATAAGGACCGTGACGGTTATTTATCTGATAGGGAGCTCGAGGATTTCCAGATGAGATGCTTCGAAAAACCTTTGAGCGAGGAAGACTTGGTGCATATAAAGGAAACCATTCAGAAGGCACATCCAACCTCAGTGACCCCTTCTGGTATTGATTGCCGAGGGTTTATCCATCTTAACAAAATGTATGCCGAGAAAGGGCGCCATGAAACAGTCTGGATTATACTGCGGGCTTTCCAGTACACAGACAATCTCTCGCTCCAAGAAAGCTTTCTCCATCCTAGATTCGAGGTCCCACCATATGCGTCTGCCGAGCTTTCCCCAGAAGGATATCGATTTTTCGTGAATCTCTTCCTCCTCTCAGACAAGGATAACGATGGAGGATTGAACGACGCCGAATTGGCGTCATTATTTGCGCCAACCCCTGGCTTACCCGCTTCATGGGCAGACGGCTCATTCCCATCTTCTACTGTTCGGAATGAAGCTGGTCATGTTACACTTCAGGGTTGGCTTGCACAATGGAGTATGACTACATTTACATCGCCAAAAACGACCTTGGAGTATCTGGCATATCTTGGATTTGAATCATCCGACAGAAGCAATCCTTCTACAACGGCAGCATTAAAAGTAACGCGGCCGCGAAAGCGAAGAAAGCGCCCTGGGAGGGTGGGTCGTAATGTTGTACTCGGTCATGTCCTTGGGCCTCCCGGCTCAGGCAAATCTGCGCTTCTCGACGCCTTCCTTGCGCGCGGCTTCAGCACTACATATCATCCTACAATTCAACCCCGCACTGCGGTCAACACAGTGGAACTTCCAGGGGGTAAACAATGTTACCTGATTCTGGACGAGTTGGGTGAGCTAGAGCCTGCCATACTAGAAAATCAGGTGAAGCTATTGGACCAGTGTGACGTCATTGTGTACACTTACGACTCCTCGGATCCCGATTCATTTGCGTATATCCCTGACCTGCGATCCAAATACCCTCACCTCGAGGAGCTTCCAAGTGTGTTTGTGGCTCTTAAGGCTGATCTCGATCGGACAACCCAACGGGCTGAGTATCAACCGCACGAATATACTGCGATGTTAAATATGCCCAGCTCACCTCTTCATGTTAGTGTGACTTGGAGTTCAATGCAAGAGGTCTTTGTCCATATCGCTGAAGCCGCTATGGAGCCCAGTACGGCATTTCCACGGAGCGAGGAAGATGTTGAGGGTAAATGGATGGCCTGGGGAATTGCGCTGGGCGCTGTTGTCTGTGCTGGAGCAGCCGCGGTAATGATTTGGCGACGGGTGAGTGGAAGTGGAACTTGAGGGTGATATCCATGTCTTTATGGCGCTGTATGCAAGATACCCAAGGCATTCATTCAAATCGGCGATGATTGGGCAGAGAAATGACTTTTTATGTTCAGAGGGAAAGGAAAAAGTGCATCTGTATACCGCCCGAGCTACGGATATATTCCACGTAGTAGTATTATCATTATAAACTTGTCCCCTTACTTTGGTCGAAATGCCAAAGGGAAACTTATTCTGAGCGCCGATCTAGGATCCTTAGAATGTTTTTTGGTAGGCTACTGTACGGAGTAGACAAAGCGGAGAAAGATATGGAAATACCGATAATCATTGGAACAGCGGTTGGGTAGCCCCACGGATCCGCCTCGTGCACGCGAGAAAGCGGCGGCCAACCCCAGAAAAGCTTCTCCTCACGAACGCCCTTTGGCCCTCCCCTCCCTTTGTCGCTCTCCGCTTTCCTCTATTTCCCCCTGAGGGCTTCGTGTTCTCGCCGGTTCCGTAACATAAGCAGTTCTTTCTCCTGTTTCCCCGCCGTTGTTGAGTATTTAATCCTGATAGCTTTTCTGTGCTCCCAGCTGCAGACGGAACTCCGATCGTTTCTCCGCCCATCGTTGCTAGGTTGAACTGCTGCTCACCACTCCCCGGCAGCCCCGGACACCTATCATCAATTGAGGGCAGGCGTTAGAGGGTCTTCTTGTGTTTTTTCTTTTCGCTTTTTGGAATATTGTGCATTGCCTCATCGGTTCTTATCAACTAATTTCAAGTCTCCAAATCACGCCACCTTGGGCAGCACCACTCGGGGTGCCGCTCTTGGGGGAAAATTCACCACAGAATTGCGTGACTAGCCTATCGCAGCTGCCATTGTCTCACAAGTGATTCATTTGCATTAGCTGATTTGTGGTTAGCATCACGGTAGCAACCATGTTGTAAGGCTCACCCTCCGAGGCCCATGATCTATACTCTCCCTCTTATCTGTCTCTCTGTTGAACGTGTTGATTGGTTGGCACGTGGCTTGTCGCTGCTGCACTTTGATTTAGCTTTGTTTTTTTTCACTGTTATTTAGTCATATAAGCTTTAATTTTGTTGCGCTTCTCTTTCGATGACGGCATTGTTGCGACGTTTCTCTTGCTGACTTCGAACTAGCGTCCTACCCCCGCCTCCGCCTCGCTATACCGTACCGATTGCATACGCAGCTGGTGCGTCGAATGGCATGGCGGTTCCAGTTGTGGAGACCAACAACATAATTAGCCATCCGGAGGGTGGTTGTCCACTGCAGGTCGGAGAAGGTATGTTTGCGACATGGCGCAAAGTCCCTCATGGCATCGAAGCCCCACTATTACCGAGCTTTGGATCATGCTAATGCTGGTTTTGCGACAGGGACTTACCACCTCAAAGATGACTTGCACCTCGCAACACCTCCTCCACATCCTTCCGAGGCCCCCGTCGTAAATCCTAACCCTCTTGCGACTGTCCCAACCCCCCCAACATCCGGCGTCAAGCTGTCGCTGGTTACTGTTGGCCAACGAAACAAGATTCCTGTGTTTACCTTGAAAGAGAAAGTGACTGCGCCACCATTCGCAGATGGCAACCCTGCTTTAGCGGCCGTCCCTACAAAAGATGGCTTGAAAAGACGGAAGCCCAAGAATAACATCATAAAGAGCAGTTCGTCATTTGTCTCGCGGGTTATCACTCATGAGGCTTCTTCCAAACGACTCAATGATCGGAACCCTGACGGTCTGTTCGCCTTCGCTAATATCAATCGGGCATTCCAGTGGTTGGATCTTAGCTCAAAAAACAAAGAGGAACCGCTGGCGAAAATCCTCTTCACCAAAGCGCACATGTTGACACATGATATCAATGAGCTAACAAAAAGCTCTTCTCATATCGACATTGCTATGGGCTCGTCGGCTGGCGACATAATCTGGTACGAGCCTATCTCCCAGAAGTATGCACGGATCAATAAGAATGGAGTCGTCAGCAATTCTCCAGTAACGCATATCAAATGGATTCCTGGGTCAGAGAATATGTTCATGGCTGCGCATGCAAATGGACAGTTGGTCGTATATGATAAGGAGAAGGAAGATGCGCTTTTCACGCCTGAAATTAGCAATCATTCCGCAGAGGCGATGAAAGCATCTAGTCGACTACCGCTGCAGGTGCTGAAATCAGTAAACTCCAGGAACCAGAAAACTAACCCGGTTGCATTATGGAAACTTGCCAATCAGAAGATCTCCCAGTTTGCCTTCTCTCCGGATCAAAGGCATCTGGCCGTGGTTCTAGAGGATGGGTCGCTCCGCGTGATGGACTATCTTAAAGAAGAGTATGTTTTATGGTCTTTGCGCTTTCTGTTCCGTTTCAGTTGGGGCAGATGGCGAGTGATGAACGACCAGCTAACAAACTGGATAGGGTCCTAGACATTTTCCGTAGTTACTATGGAGGTTTGATATGCGTTTGCTGGTCACCTGACGGCAAATACATTGTGACGGGTGGCCAAGATGATCTGGTGACGATATGGTCATTTCCGGAGCGCAAGATCGTCGCACGATGCCAAGGGCACAATTCTTGGGTCTCTACCGTTGCATTCGACCCATGGCGCTGTGACGAGAGGACATACCGGTTTGGGAGTGTTGGGGATGATTGCAGGCTGCTACTATGGGATTTCAGTGTGGGCATGCTGCATCGCCCTAGAGCTGTACGTTACCCCCCAAGTCTTTCTTGCTAGGGGCATGGGATTAACACATTACGCCGTAATAGCATCAAGCTACCGCCCGGCAGCGGTCCAGCATGATTGCAAGCAATACACAGCACTTCAATCGCCACAGAGCCGACAGTGCAAGCAACCGGATGAGGTCGGATTCCCAACGAACTGCAGACACTTACAATGATTACGACTCTGCTGTCCGTCATCCGGTAGAACCTAGGGCTCGGACAGCCCTATTACCACCTATAATGGTACGTTGTCATAGCGATTCTCACCATATTCATCAGACTGCATATCAAACTGATGAGAACTAATCGGTTAATAGTCAAAAATCGTCGGGGATGACCCTATCTGCTGGTTGGGATTCCAAGAAGACTCGATTATGACCTCTTCTCTTGAAGGTATGGATGCTTTTCGTACGTCAACTCAACCATAGCAGCAACTGACATAACTGAAGGTCACATTCGCACCTGGGATCGCCCACGAGAAGGTATTAATGATAGTTACAATGGTAACACCTCGTCGCCCGCGATCAGTACCAGTGCCGCCGGGTCTGGGTCGGGCATAGCAGACTCGGCCATGGGCTCATTGTAGCCGTTCACTCCGGTTGTGCGAGTCAATGTTGTCTGTATATATGTACACTTGTAACTAGATATACCCATTTGAACGTGACCTATAGCTTCTTTGAATATCACCTAATAGTAGGGGTCAAGGAAAGGTAATTTAACGAGCTTTTATGATTAATGTACAATACTGTATGCTACTAGTAATAGTAGTAATAGTATAACTTCTAATACATACTCATCAGCATCTGTTGAGTTTAGATTTCATTTTAATGTGGTTGTACATACTCCGTCTCGGAGTAGAGATCGGACTAAAACTGTATTCGGACTACATCTATTCCGATAAGCTACTTTATCTTTCTAAGGTTCCTTCCATCCACTTCCTATTCTTTCCTCACACACTTTTGTGTTCCCTTAACACTTCCGGGAAAACAGCTCTCTACGCAATGGACCGAGTTTCGAAGGGCGGTACGTTAAGGAAGAATGGAAGTTTAACCTCCTGTGAGCCGTGTCGCATGTCGAAGATTAGATGTGATCATAGAAGACCTATATGTAAAAGATGCGAGACCCGACGCCTCAGCAAGAAGGTGAGAATGACATCCTAATCTAGAAAGTGATGGATTTTCTGACGCAACAATAGTGCTATTACCATCCAGCTCCTATGACAAAGCCGAGCAAAGTCCCTGCAGGCGAACCCGATGTTGCTACTTGCAGAAGTATCAACCAAGATATCGATTCTTCCCTCATCAGTGACCTCACTGAGGTACCACCATTAAGCTGTACTTACCTCGGGTCAACAAGCTTCCTGTCAGTTTTCCGTGACACGCAACCAGGCTTGTCTCCAAACCCCATACCGCATGCAGTCCTACGAGGGCGATGGAGCCGTGATCATACGTATGTGGCATCGCGTCTGGTTCAGCTACTGTCTGCCTTTGAGCTCTGCGAAGAGTTGCTTATAGGTCACTATGAGCGATGCCCGTGTACTATCATCCCGCTGCAACTCATTCTACAGCCCCTCAAAATGGCCAGGACCTACTTAGAATCAGGCGGCTGGGGCAAGGATCTGCAGTATGAAGAGATATATTCTAAGATTACGCAGAATACTGCCAGGCCGTTTCCTGATCCTCGTAGTCCCTCAAGCGCATGGGACTTTTACACTCTATTCACCGGCGCAAACCTGAGATGGGAGTTCATAGGCATCATATTTTCCTTCGCAGGATTAGGCGCATTAAGTAGCGAAAGAAAGCTGTTCAAAATCGATGGTCAAGGGTCGATGTCTGCCAATGCATTTGCAGAAGAAATGACTGCAGCAAGTACCATGTGTATCGAGATATGCAAGCAACTTGATAAAGTTAATGACTTGATGCTATGGTTATATGTAATACATAGCGCGCTCGCCTCAGATATCTTCGGAGAAACAAGTATTGTTTTCAGGGAATGGAAAAGCTTAGACCAGAGCTAACAACTCGACTAGGCCATCGCAACTATGAGCAGCTTGGCGATCTGGTGTCCCATGTTTATGCCCTGGGTCTACATCGCCTCCAGTCGCCCGACAATGACGTCCCTTTCTTCATCGCCGAGACTCGAAAGAGGATTTTCGGTGTTGCATACCGTTGGGACAAGAATTCGGCTACCCTTTTTGGTAGGCCTCCTCGCCTCCCTTACCACTACTGTGAGACAAGTCTCCCATTAGACATAGACGATGACTCAATACTTCGCCAAGAACCACTTGAATCACTATTGCAGCAACTGGGATCCGATGGGTGGAATACCACAGGCGTCAGCAATGGCACACTTCGCCATGCAACGATACTCAGGCTGCGCTTCATGATATCCGTACTTAGTGAACAAGTTTTAGAACTGTCACTGGGACGAAGAACCCCAGACTTTACCGAGAAGCTTCGGTATAGCTGCAAGAATATCTTTTGACATAGCCAATGCTGACATCTTAGTAGAACAACCTACGAACAGTGCCTGCAAATGTGGTCACAAATTCCCCAAGAGTATCACTATAGCGCAGACTCCTGGGGGAGGCTAAATCCCCGTTCATGCGTTTCAATTATACTCGTTTATTTGGAATACCTGTACACGGTGTTTCAAGTAGAGCGGATCCGCTGTCGCGAAAACCAGGACTATACGAAGGATCTCCTTGACACATCAATGAAGGTACTTTCCGTGGTCAACGATCTTATGAAACATCGCGAACAGGCAGGCAATAATATTATCAAGAGTTTCTTCTGCATCGTGAGTTCTGCCTTGCCACTTGTCCAACCAATGGCTAACTAAGCTCTACGCTGTAGCTTCTTTTCAATGCCCTTCCAACTGCAGGCGCCCTCGCCACAGAAGTACATCGGTGCACTATCGCAGAAATTCCCCTACCCTGCTCTGCGTCCCGCTCCGAGATCATCCGTAAACTAAGCGTCTTCGTCGCATGGCTTGGTAGCGCTGATCCTTCCATAAGCCACACTCATCGAATATGCGTGGATATTAACAAAGCCATAACGAAATTGCTAGATGACACTTTGAATTATCGGCCTTCGTGTCGATCTGCAGAGCAAATGCTAGGCCCTATCCAGGGCCACGAACCGTCAGAAGAAAGCTCTTCTGGCTCCGTGATGCCCTGGGCGAATGTCGCGGATCTACCAGACTTAGCGACTTTCGGCACTAGCGCTGACTTCCTCAGCTGGTTGGATGACCTGGGATTTGGATCTACCCTACCTGAGCTTTTTGTATAAGAACTTTCCCAGGCTGGGTTTCTGAAACTATCTCACAGCTTAGGATGGGGACATTAGGGTTGATATTTATTGAAGATTATATGCTCAAATAGCCATTAACTGTATGTATCACTGGCATATGATGTTGGTATAAATAATTCAACATGTAAACACAAAACTATACAACTCAATGTATGGTTCGCCGAGGGCCTACCGTATACTATCGAAAATTGCCAGCATCAATCTCATTATCTATGGATTATCAAGCGAATGGCCCTAAAAGTCAGAGTTCGACACGTACATATATTGTATGTATGTACTATATGCAAAGACTACTAAACTCAATGCGACCGGATGTCTGCACGAAGAGTGCGGCGTGTTTCCCCCCTTGCATATTTATTACCTCCGCCATGAACATCACCTATGATACATCCAATCCGGACAACGATAAGACCGAGGGTAACAAAAACCAGGCGAATAAAATTTATCTAATGATTAATGCTAAGAGAAAAAATAAATGAAAAGAGACGCATGATAAAAATAAAGTTCATTAATAAGTTGCGTACATACATAAAACTTGTTACTTCATGAACCGTGCAGCTAGCGCATGATGAAAAGATAGACAGGAAAAGAAAGTTGAAGAGAGCAAAAAGGAGTAATACTACCTCATAGCGTCAATTCCAAGTTTGTACACGTTCTATTCTCGTATCGAATCCGAATCTGCGATTTACAGCGCTAGGGCGAAGAGACTAAGCATCAGGGAGCCGGCAGCGGGGATCGTAAGTGCTGCCGAGCCGCCAGTCGATTCGGTCGGAGCAGCGGAGGTGCTGGAAGCGGAGTTCGTGGCAGTAGAGGCTGTTGTTGGGAAACGGACTGTGTCAGCAAACCATTGGGTTGTAAACCGTGACGTACTCACCCTTGTTCACGGAGGCAGAGGGGGCAACGGTGCTAGATGACGGAGAGTATGGCGCACGGGATGATGATGGTGAAAGTTTAGAAGTGCTGAGGGTGCTGTGGATGATGCAGGGACGGGAAGTGATTTTTGTTTTGATTGTGGTGCTGGTGCTGGAGCGGGTGCATGATGGTGCGGTGGATGATGGTGTTTTGGTGATTTTAGTACTGAAATATTGCTTACATGGCTTGGGGGGGTCAGCGACAGCCGTCACATTGAAGATCTGCGACTGGGCCAGGATGCCGGTGTTCTTCTTGGAGTTGGATACAAAATTGAACTGGTATCCGGTGCTAATTGGAGGGTGAGGATTAGTATTCACACTCAAGATTGTGAGGAGCATAGGAATTCTAGGTCCAGCTCTTGGGATGCACACACCCTGTCTCAATGTCCCAGATCTTGTCAATAGTGTATTTGCCGTCCGAGGTCTTGATATCCTTGGCGATCTCTTTCTCGGAGGAGGTTTGGTTCTTGAGGACGATGTTGACTTGCTCGGGGTCCGAGCTATCAGAGGCAATTCAAGTCAGTGTTTCCATTGCTTCGCCTGTCGGTGTTGGTCCAACTGAGTACATACGGGACAGTGGTCCATTTGATGGTGTAAGGCTTGCTGAAGTCAACCTTGTCCCCGTTCTGGGGGGAAGTGATGGTGACAGCTAGATATCAGGATTAGCACGTTGCTTCCAACTTTGCAGTAGAAATGAGAATCACATACCGAGCGAAGAAGCCGCATAGGCAACAATCGAAGCGATCTGGAAGAAGCGCATTGTGATGATATTAGGAGGCAGTAGTACGTAGAAAAATATAAAAGGGTATCACAAGACAAGCGATTTGATTCAACCAAAGAAACTAAAGTGCAGAGGTATAATATATTTTGTGATTAAAAAAAAATATTGAACGCTGAAGGACAAAACAGTGACTTTATATAACGATTCTAGCACACCGCAAAGTAAACCCATGAGAAGGTCAATTACCAAATCCTGAGTTCTTGATTTGATCCCTCATCTTCCTCCTTCCCTCCTGTAGTCTCCTTTGGGACTGACCGATAGGAAGTAAGCTTCCACTACGAAGTATTTTGGGGCACGATGAGTAGGGCACGTCGCAAGCACAGACTAGGGTCCAGCGTGCGTTGGATTTGACGCGAGGGGCACAGATGATCTGTCTTTCCCAACCTTCTCACTTTTTCCTATCTAGGGCGGAATCCAAGGCTCATGAAGCTCTTGACACACACTATTGGCTTGTTTGTAATAGTGCCTGCAGCCTAAATTACTATACTCTTTTTCTTTCTGTATCCCTCCCCTTTACTTACGAAACAATCTCAAGGCCCCAGTGTTTACTGGTCGGGGTCCTATGCTCGCAGGGATACAGCCCCTTCCAAGGAAGAAAACTGGATAAGTGATAGCAGTCATTGAATTTGTACCCTGTTGAGATCATAGCGTAGTTACAGGCTACAGAATAGCCTTGTTTCGCTTTGCGATCGCCGGCCGGAGATTGAAACGAGTCAAACAACACACCGAAGGAGACTTTGACGATCGCTGGACAAGGAGATTATTTGTCGACTTTTTGATACTGCGACAACTTTGCAGATCGGCCATTGCTGCAAGTACTGACAGATCTTAGTATGAACGAAACCTGCTATACTTACACTGGATGTTCCATGGACTACTAATCTCTGCAGGCAGCAGATCTTCACAAAACAGCAATGATAATGATTAGTATCGTTCAGTTTTTATCTGGTCCAAAGAAAACAAGAAAAAAAAAATCAAAAATCAAAATAAAAACAAAAGCCCTGTATAACCCGAACTGTACCCTCACCGCCGAATGGGCTGTTCGGCGATGTATGTACACTTGGCACATTATTTAATCTTCTATTTCCTACAACGGCAAGTCCACTTTCAACAAATCTAGAAAGGTTCATTCTAAGTTCTTGATAGCTAGAGCCATTGACTTTGTGACGGGCACCGAGCGCATGAACCAAACCATACACATCATCTGCGACCAATGCCAATACGATATGTCAGAAGTGATCTCCCAACTTAGCTTTCGGCTATCGACTTTTTAACCTTCGAGCTGTCCTTAGTTGAAAATGCACATCGACATCCAGCACGCCATCCAAGTCACCGCAACTTTTTTAACTCTGCATGTTTATCCAGACGCATTTCAGATGTGAGAAGCCCTGATGCTATTCTTAGTCAAAGAAAAGCGAGGTACGCAGATCCTCTCGGCGTCATACCTACCAGGTTCAGCTGCATTTGGAGCTTCTTGCGGTGTATCTCGTCACAGTTTTGATGACATGCTTATCAGCTATGGTCTATTATTAGTACTACATGCCCATCAAGTCACCAGGCTTCCAGTATAGATAGTCTCTTTATGTGCTTACGACTACATTCAGATACGACGACTACAATATACGTGAAGAGCTCTTGCACACGGGCCAAGGACGCGCAATATGCTGACTCAAGAGCTCTAACTCTCTGCTACGCTTTATGTTATCTGAATTTCTTTCTTTCTTTTTCTTCTCTTTTTCTCTTCTTATCTTTCTCGAGCCACACGGCTAGGGGGCTTGTGTACAGAATGGCCGCGATGCTTTGGGCATCGGTGAGCTGCGTTCATAGCTAGCAGCTAAGACTGAGGGTGATGGTTTGATATGAAGTATCTGGTTGCCTTGATGGAATTTTTCGTTGGCTAGAGAAGAGAAGAGACAGGACAGGGAAGCTAAGAACCTAGCTGACAACGGTTGTAGATAAGGTTTCACTATTTATCATTCGCCTATAGATATCAAGGTTCGTCGTCCTGTCTCAACACTCTAAGGCAAGGACGCCAGAACAAGCATTATATGACTTGGATATGTTTCCTCATGCTATTCGCTACAATGTCACTTCAAATCTCGGACAAATATCAATTTGATGACGACCGTTTCCCCGGGCGATTAGCATCCTGGTTACACAGGAGTATGGCAGTCGGAGAATCCTTCGAATTTAGATGCCGAGGTTGTTGGAACAATCTAATTTCTATGAAAAAGCTCGATAAACGAGTTGAGGCAAAAAGGAAAAGGAGCCCATATCGAAAACCCCTCGTTTCAAGTTTTCTGTTGTTCAACGGATGACGAATTGCTACACATCGGAGCCAAAGTAGGGCCGTTAGCTTTCATGGTGGAAGGTTGTTTTCGTCGCCTTTGGAATGTGTAACGATATACGTTCTCCGGAATTTTGTTTTCGGCTGAAAATCCCAAGCCAATGTGTGATTGAAGACGTGGACAAACACACGTATATCAGCACAAATGGCTTACGGTTGTGAGAGGATAAGCATATTCCGCTTCATAAGAATTAAGCATTTCGCTCAATCTCCTTCATTTTATCGTCAACTAGATTACCTTACGAAGATAGCCCTCGGATTCTATTTGCTCGATCGTCATGTTTGTTGGAGCCGACGCTTGTCCAGACTTTTAGCCTTTGGATTGCTGTGAGAGGCGAAACAGAAACGATACAGAAAGCAGGCAGCAAACATACCATCCATTTCACAGAAAAGAGTTTACCATTCACGGATTATCCTAGGAATTTTTTGATTCGTAATGGTGAGGTTACGTATGCCTGTTTCCCACTGTGACGCAAAAGCCTGGATTAGGTCGTCCTCATACATATAAACAAAGCAATTGCTCCCATCTGATGTGCTTCGCACAATCCTCATACCGTGGCATCTATTACTATCTTCAGGGGGTATACCATCTTCTCTATCTCTTAAACCTGTATCACTAGGAACCCTCAGTGTTTAACTAAACATTTGATACTGTGTCTATAGCCCTAACTCCTAAGAATGAGAGTCCAAAGCGTCACTTTCTTCCTCGGTCTATGCACCGCAGTCTTCGCAGTCCCTCATAAGCCCCAGAACGAAAGAGGTATGTGGAAGAACTGGCAAGAGTCATCAATGACTACTGTGACGCCGACGCCGACGCCCACTACACCTCCGGGCGACGACGATGACTCTGGGGAGTTTCCCTTCCCATGGCCCACCGAGTGGCCACCAATCTTCGATAACTACCCAGAAATCGGAGGCAATGACGATTCAAGCTCCGACGATGTGCCTGATGCCAATGATAAATCTACTTCTGGGATGCCAGACGTCAAGGGCGACGAGCGTCCTTCGAAGAGCTTGAAGTAGGCGGGTAGGGTCTATGCTCGCGGGCTCTATTTGATTCGCCGGACGGAGGATTTCTTGTGCGGTTGTCGCGTCCTGTGTTGAGGGTCTAAAAGTTTATGGAGGGTGATGGTGGGATCAGGAAGGCCTGTCTATCTAGTTATTGATTGCAATACGGTTACTCTGAGTGCATATCATGCGTACCTTAGTAGGATCATGGACACTATTCTTTCGTTGGCACCCTTACTAAGTGATTCCTCACACCAAACCTATAACTATGCGGTGTATCATGGAGGACTAGCTACAAGTGTCTCACACAGAGCTGTGACTAGGCACTGAAATATAGTTAATGCGACTAATAGAGGAGCCAGAAATACTCGATATCTATCTCATGCTTTGTCTATACAGGTTACCTCTGAGCCCTAATTCTTTCATGGCTAAAGCCCGGGGTCCCTCTACTTCAGATTCATAGATAACTATTTATCCGCATGCAGTCTCTCCGCACTTCGATGTAACCCACATGGTGAGACATCGCGGTATTGAGGTCTTTTTGTATCCTGGACAGTTTGTCCGACAACGCCATGGTTCACCTGGCATTTTCAAACCAGTCTTTCAGTCTCCCGCGGACAATGAAGGATCGCCCAAATAATGAAGTCCAACAAGAGACCAATGCTTGTACTCTTCTCTGTTTTTCTCTTTCTTGATATTGTAACAGAATCGAGGATTGTCTTGTGCCATTCGAAGGGTAGAAGCAGCTCAAGCAATAGTCATAAGGGAGCAGGGCGACTTGACTGTAGTAGATCGCGATCAAAGGTTGTGAAGGTCAGAACTTGCGACGGTTGGAATCGGGACATGAAGGGGCAGCGTATAACTAGTAGAGATTCTTGGACGCTGAATCAGTGCTGTCCCAGAATGCGTACGTACTGGATCATGCCCGGCGAAACTATTCTATCCAGTCAGCCAGGCAAGATCCAATCGTTTAGGGCTATCGGCATTTATCCAGGTTGGGGTGGAGACTCTCCACCTCTCCCCTCATCCACCCCCCTGGTAGTAAATCACCCCGAACAGGGCCCACCGAGGTAATTCAGCCCGCGAGTCATATTTAGCACGGAGATTTCATATTAATACTATGCGGAATTTAGTTCGGGCTGCAATGACCCGAACACCTGGCCGCGTGCAGCTCAGAAGAGTAGAATTGGAAGTTGGGTGTTGCGGGGAGAGAGACGGGGAAATGCCGGTCATGGATTTAGTGCTCTAGTACTTATTGTGAGCCCTGCACCATCGAATGAATCGAGCTGCGTGCGACACAGCCCGCTTTTACCATGGCATCGAAAACCCCCGCCTCCGAAATCCACCGGGTCATTGACCTCCTCATTGACAACCTCATAAACATTCGCGACGACACGGGCCGATTTCTTCTACATCTTGAAGATGGCCGCACCATCCAGGCAAAATGCTGGAACGGCTGGGAATGGACCCATGGCATCGGACTGTACGGTGTATGGAAATTCTACGAGATAACGGGCCAAGCCAAGTACCTTAAAATTATCGAGGACTGGTTTGCTGAGCGCTTTGCTGAAGGCGGCACTACCAAGAATATTAACACGATGTCTGTCTTCCTGACTCTTGCCTATGTCTATGAAACGACAGGCAACCTTACCTATCTACCCTGGCTCGATGCATGGGGCGAATGGGCGATGCACGAGTTGCCACGCACCAAGTACGGTGGTATGCAGCATATCACCTACGTCGCAGAGAATGACCAGGAACTCTGGGATGATACACTTATGATGACTGTGATGCCGCTAGCTAAAATCGGAAAACTCCTTAATCGACCTGAATATATTGCTGAGGCGAAGCGGCAATGTCTTATCCACGTAAAGTATCTCTTCGACACAAAAACGGGTCTCTTCTTCCACGGCTGGCGATTCGAGAGTGATGGACATAAGAACGGGGGGCACAATTTTGCGGATGCACGGTGGGCGCGCGGGAATAGCTGGTGCACCATCGTTATCCCAGAGATCCTCGAATTGCTGGAACTAGAGCCGAGTGATCCTATTCGGATCCATCTCTGCGATACACTTGAGGCGCAGTGCGCAGCACTGCAGCGGTCCCAATCTATATCGGGTGCTTGGCATACGCTTATCGATCACCGGGACTCGTACCTAGAGGCATCAGCGACTGCTGGATTTGCGTATGGTATACTGAAAGCTGTGCGGAGGCGGTACATCGGGTCGCAGTACCGGGCTATGGGAGAGAAGGCTATCAGCTCTGTGTTGAAAGATGTAGATGAAAAAGGGGAGCTCCAGAACACTAGTTTTGGCACGCCGATGGGCTATGATCTTCAATTTTACAAGGATATCCCTCTTACTGCCATGCCGTACGGCCAGGCCATGGCAATCATGGCTCTGGGGGAGTATCTATGGACCTACCTGTAGCCGGCTGTTGAATTGAGATTCGATCTGAATATGTTTGAACAGGGTAACTTTCACTGATCCAATCAAGTTAGACCGTTAGTGTCGGAAACTCATGAAAGTAAAGATATGAATAATTATCTTAAACTGAATTTGAGCTGCCTTCCCGTAACGCCAAAACCAACGGAAAATATATGGCTGGAGATATCGACAATGCGATCTGTTTACAAAATGCCAAAGTGGCTCCGTCGAGGACAGGGCGTCCGATAACGTCTTAAGACCAGTTAACTGCCGTTGGATCCAGTGCAAACAAAAGCTTTACCCACATCATGACTACTATCTTGTGCCATACCTTAACCTTGTAAGGTTATGACCCTGGGACTAATAGTTTATTGCGGTGCTCAACCCTTTATCAAAGAACTCTAGGGGGAATAAGGAAGAAAGGAAGGATAGCCTTGTGTTTCAGGGTTATCGTTGGGATGTGACGATCGAAGTTGATGGTTAGATCGAGGAAACTATACACTGGACTGTTGCTGACCAAGCTTCTCTCTGAGAATCCATAACTGGTAGTTGATACTCCTCGCTACGAGGTTGGTGATTTGTATGACTCTGATCAGGACGTCAGGTCTTGGCCAATATTTTCCCAATATTGTTCGCCAGATCATTATGTCATCGATGATTGGCGCGCTATTTCCCACTCTCCCCCACATCCTCGATTTCGATCGCAAACACAATTTCCCCCCTCCCCCCATTTCCACTTCAACAATTTGTGTATTCGCAGGACCCCGATTTCTTGCCCAAGTACTGGAATTTCCTGAGCCTCAGAGGCATGCTTAGAAGGCCCCTAATACATCTCCGACATATTGCTAGTGACTTTGAAGATGGTTGACCAAGCCGATAACCAGCTAAGAGTCAGTTCTTGCACCCTTCGCGTCCACCGTGGAGATGTATGACTCAAGTCGGGACTCTGGTAGCTGATTGCTTAACTTGTCTCTGCTTCTTTAGGAATTGGAAAAGGACTATTGTCCGCCTCTTGACCCAGCATTATTTACAGCTATCGCCTGTGACTATGATCTCTCTGACTCGGCTCAGCTCCAGCAGCTTCGCGAAACCCTCGACACCCTCAAGCTATCTGCATGGGAACAGGAAGACCTTCCCTTTGACCCGTCTGGTACGAGTGGCCTGGGCGCAAGTGGTGTTGATTCAGAAGGGATACCGTCGGAACACAGCGTATCGCAAAACGGAACTGTGCGATCGCGTGAAACAGACATCACGAGCTTGGCATCGGAGTTCTCCTCCTTCAGCGTAGGCGACAAAGGCTCGCACAATGGTAAGAGCATATCTCCACGCGTATCCTATACTATTAGTGCAGATGGATCACTTTGTCTATCGGGTGCAACCGAGGAGGATAAGATTGGCTACTTGTCGGAAATGTTTCCCTCCGTCGATAAATTCACCATCCAGCATGCACTACGGAAGTCTAATGGGGATGTTGATCGCTCAATGGATGTCCTGCTTAATCTCACTTTCTTCTCCGAACAACCTGCAATTGAGGACGGGGATATGGTCGCTATCCCTAAAGGCATAGACGGGTTTCAAGATGGCTCGGATGGGGAAACCGGGCGAAAGAAGAACCGCAAACGCAGAGGGAAAGCCAAGAGCGGCCGCATTTATGAACGCCCATCCCCCTTGGATTCCGAGGCAGGCTACTGCTTGCAGGATGAACCCTGTACTGTTAATAAGTGGGATGCGGCGCAGAGGGATATTGAGTTTATTCACTCCAGGACTTCCCCTGTCCTGAAGAAGGAAATGGTCACATCCACCTACCATGCTAATGGTGCTTCTTTAACAGCGACTATTCGGTCCCTGGCAGAGACACATGCACCAAAAGATGAGCGGGCCATAAGCCAAGATACAGTTATAGAGGCACAAGTTGCCGAGCTGATCCAGGAGCTTCCTTCTATTCCGCCCACGACGTTCGCAGGTCTTCTTAAAGTTACGAGGAGTTCTGTCTCGGCCGCTAGTGAATTGGCAGCTGCAATGGTGACAGGGCCAGTAACCCCATCAGTGTCTGAATTGATTAAATTCACTACTTCACCGCCACCAGTCGATGTCGAGGTAGAGACGCCTAAGCGACGGAATGAGCCGCGGGTCATTCGAGATTATGACCGTGTAAGAAGTTCCGCAGGTGCTCATTTTGCCGCCAGTTCGGAAGCACTCGCTAAAGCCTCGGCGGCATATCGTCGCGGCAAGTCCGATCGCCTGATGGGGGGTGCAGCTGCTTATTACTCGGCAGTCGGGCGAGATCATCTAGAGCGGGCAAAGCGAGACGCAGCCGAAGCTGCGGATGCCCTCGTAGATTCGCAGTCCACGCACAATATGCTAGATCTTCACGGAGTCTCGGTGCAAGATGCCGTTCGCATCGCCAATGAACGGGTTTCAGATTGGTGGGAGTCTTTCGGGGACGCCAAATACGTGCGCGGTGGTGAAATAGCCCGGTCTGGATATCGCATCATCACTGGACTCGGGCGACATAGTCATGATGGGACATCGCGTCTGGGTCCTGCTGTGGGCAAAATGCTGGCTCGTGAAGGCTGGAGAGTGGAAGTAGGCGAAGGAGTCTTGACTGTTATAGGTGTGGTGCGACGTCACTGAACCTTGAACTTCATTTGTTGAGATACCCTTTTTGCATTGTTTGATGATCTAGTCATGCATTTTGAGTAAATATTTGATATTGTGAATTTTGTACAGTGAACTCTATTGGGCCTTATACGATGTATAAGAAGCGTTACCTTGGATGAATTTGCCATAGGATGAACTTTGTAAAACTCACTGAGTTGGATATACAACAATTTACTCCGCAATCGGGATTTATGACGTAAATGCTTAGCCAAAGCGGAGAAACACATCGACATCTCTAGTAATAAGTGGTTAAATTCTTCTACACTTTCAACTATCTTGCGCAACTTTGACTCTCTATTCCACAATTACGAGCCTAATGCGCATCCAACGCTTCTCCACAGTCCTCCGCGCTGTCACCTTCAAATACCGGCCCACACCTCTCATCACGAAAGCCACCTCTCAACATCCGAGCAATCCATCCTTCTCAATCTCAAAATCCACTACACTCAAAGCCGCCCCAGGAATCCTCCCATTCCTAAGTTCTTTCTTCACGACAACCGCTAAACCCGAGACTGACAACAATAACAACATGGCCTACCCCGACCAGCGCAGCTCCGAAGAATGGCGCGCCGTCCTAAGCCCAGGTTCGTCCCAGAAACCCACTCAACAAAACCCCAGCTAACATCGGCCCCCAACAATTGTAGAACAATTCCGCATTCTCCGTGAAAAGGGCACCGAGCGTCCCGGCACTGGCGAGTACGACTCCCACTATCCCTCCGAAGGTGTGTACACCTGTGCGGGATGCAATGCCCCGCTATACAAAGCGACACACAAATTCAAGTCCGGCTGCGGCTGGCCCGCATATTTTGATTCTATCCCTGGTGCTGTGACGAGGCATACGGACAATACTTTTGGGATGCAGCGGACGGAGATCGTGTGCAGTAACTGTGGGGGTCATCTGGGGCATGTTTTTAAGGGGGAGGGGTTTCCGACGCCGACGGATGAGAGGCATTGTGTTAATAGTGTTAGTCTGAGGTTTCAGGAGGGGGAAGAGGGTGTGAAGACGAAGGCGTAGTTGGGGGGGGTGCTGGGTTGATTGATTTCTAGGTGTATGTTGGTAGTACTTTGGTAGGCGTGGGTAGGCGTGGGTAGGTGTTTATTTATTGGACTGGTTTAGCTCTGAGGGTATACTGCGCTGCCGGTTTTAATATTAGAGAGGGTGCTGTTGTCGGAGCTTCAAGAGTGTATGTAGGTACGTATAATTATCAATGAATGAGTGTTCACTTTAACAATAATCATCAGACTCAATTCACACATTCCCTTAAAGTCTGTCTAAATTTTTATTTCTCTCTTGGTTGAGATCATTTGATAGGAACTTGGAGCTTCTTGTTCAGAGTGGGGCAATCATAACACTGCCCGGATAAATATATATATCATATATAGATCATGAAGAGCGATGAATGCGATTGTAATAACTGTGATCAAATGCGACAGAAAAGTAGCATCATCGAATGAGGTTGCTAAGGCAAGACTACAGCCAAGTGTTACAAACTTAATGCTAAGCTGGAAGAATATACTCAAGCTATCATTCAGTAGACCATGGCTAATTGAATGCATTCAATGAGCTGCACACCCGGCACGTGTCCCCCACCCAATCGGGCATCCACATTGATTGGAGCCTGAGGCTGTCAAACACCGCATCCGCCACCTGACGGGAGATTGTCCCCGTGTTTCAACCACCTTACTCTCCATTCGCCTCCCCTTAGACCTTCTCGGCTTCCTGAGTGCACTGCATTTCCTACTGTGATGTCTCGACGTGCGACACCGGGTCAGGCTGCTCAGAACCAGCAGACTATTAAGGCTCTGCTGAAACTCGAACACAACAAAATATGTGCCGATTGCAAGCGCAACAAGCGTTAGTACCCCGGAGTTCGCCGTACGCCTTGAAATCCTTTGTATCTACATGCGGCCGGGAACAATAGAATGCTTAGCTGACAATTACCTCATTAGATCCACGATGGGCGTCCTGGAACCTCGGCATATTCATCTGCATCCGTTGCTCGGGTATTCATAGAGGCATGGGCACACATATCAGCCGGGTGAAATCCGTAGATCTTGACTCCTGGACCGATGAACAACTTCAGAGCGTGGTGAGATGGGGCAATGCAAGAGCGAACAAGTTCGTCTCCGACTAGGCATTGTATTTTGCGAGAACAAGCGTGCTGATGGTTCGGGCAGGTATTGGGAGGCGAAACTGGCGGCCGGTCACGTCCCGTCGGAAGCGTAAGTAGATTCGCCGAGATGATATGGATGGCTGGCTAGAAATTCATTGCTGACGAGGGTTGGGTCTAGGAAAATCGAGAACTTCATTCGGACCAAGTATGAATCCAAGCGGTGGATTATGGACGGCCCGATGCCCGACCCTTCCACACTAGATGATGGTGATGACGATGTGGTAAGATTCTTGGCATCTTCCTGTAGTCGGTGATGACTGATTATATTCTGAAGCCGCTTGCGGTTGTACAGGAAAAGGCAAAGATCGAGCGTTCTGCATCTCAGCGAGTGGCGGCGTCTAGTCAACCACCGGCAGCGCATCGCCAGCAAGCATCGATCGACCTCTTCGCTGACGATGACATTGCTCCCCCAGCCCGTCCTAGCACCACGGACCCTACACCACGAGCCGCGCCGAAGCAGCCTCAGTCTGCTCCCAAGCCAACACGCCCTGGGGACTCACTGCTCGGCCTTGATTTCTTTGGCAGCGCTCAGCCGACCACCAACAGTCGCCCGTCCAGCACGGCGTCTACCCCTGGTGGCTCCACTGGCATTTCTAGGCCCGATTTGAAGCAATCTATCCTATCTCTTTATTCAAAGCCTCAGCCAGCCCCAGCGCAGCATGGGCGCACTTCTTCGTTTGGAGATTTCGGAGACCTGGCGTCTCCCGCGCCGCCCTCAGCTTCACCATCTTCTAACCTGGGTGGTCTCACTGATGCCTTTAGTGGACTTAGCTTCCCATCAACTACTTCTCCGCCACCTCAAAAACCAGCGGAAAAGCCATCTCCATTTGCTAATCTAACAAGCTTCGCCACCAAGAAGTCCACTCCAGCAGCTCCAAAGGTCTCTTCCCCTACGGCGTCTGCCGGCAGTGGTGGGGGTAGTTTGTTTGACAGTCTTACCTCTCCCACTATCCCTGCAGCGAAGCCTCAGTCCCGTACTACATCGATTTCTTCCAATGGGTTCGATTCAGGATTCACCAGTTTCGCGTCTCCGCCATCTAAGCCGAATCCACCACCACCATCTTCATTATCTAATGATCTCTTTGGACTGTCATCCCCTGCTCCCGTTGCTCCGTCCAAGGTATCTTCCCCGCCAGCCCCGACAGCAACCTCACCGCAGCAAGAACTGAAGGCCGCTTTCAACCTTAACCCCCCTGTGCCCGCTCCGGTCTCTTCAGCGCCAAAACCTAGCATGGCCGCCACAACAGCATCTATCGCAAGCGCACTCCCGGCAAGCATAGATCCTTGGGGAGGAGGTAACGCCTGGGGCACCCCAGATCCTGCGCCAGCTGCTGAGCCCTCGGGTTCGTCAATGATGAAGGTTCCCGATACCCTGACTGCCAATGACATCGGGGCCGGCTGGGGCGCCCCGGCGTCCCCATCCGGAGGTTCGAAGCAAGCACCGGCAGTGGCTGCAGACGAAGATTTCGGAGGCTGGACCAGTGCGGCACCTATCTCATCTACAACGCCAGCCACTACGAGTAATATGAGCGTTCCATCTAAACCGGCAGGCGGGTTTAGCGGGGCTGATGATTTATTTTCTAATGTATGGGAGTAGTTGTTCCCCTCCTGTGGTGACCCAGAGATGCACATACTTGGTGTTATGTTAGACCTCAGCGCCAGATCGCAATTTATTTCTTATTTTTTTTTATTTCGTTCATCTTACACCCTTCACATGTTCCTCTTCTGCCTTTGAACTTCTAGATGCCCCGTCTTACTTTATTTTTCCTATGCGACACTGCAACCTGCTTTCATCTGATCACGACTTGGGACATGGAGTTAGGGCTGTAAAAATGGGCGGTTTTTCTGGGCAAAAGATTTTGTAGCAATGAGTCATAATGGCCCTAAGGGCGTTTTCATGACGTTCAAGATGTCACTGGTTATTATGAATGGCACTATTATCTAACATTTGGGTGTAAGGGAAATGAGTATCTTTGTTGATCCCAGCGGATATTGGGGTAAAAGCGGCGCGGAGTCGGACCGAAGTTACGATTTGATAAATGTACGGAGTACTTGGTATTTAATACCTAACTCTATTTCATTAACCATTTCTCCTGGCTAAAGATCTCCACGTTAGAATCTCGGCGGGCTTATATATGGCAATGGTTATTGATCCAATGCAAGGCGGCGAAACCTTCCTATAGATATGCAATTATTACTCCGAGTGAGTACGGAGTATTAGCAAATGCACCATATCTCGTTACCTTAATCTAACAATGTCTCAACAAGCTAATATTGACCACGGCCAACCCTTGACGGTGCACACACTCGTCTAAAATCATACGATTGAAAGGGCCGTTTTGCTAGCAAATGTTATACAATTGTATGACTTATTCCCACAGATTTTACTAAATTATATTAACTTTACTAACTCGCATGCCGAATAGCGTTTTGATCCCGTGATGGCGGATTATCGCAGGCCGATATCGACCGGGAAGGAACTGTCCCAGCCTATGACGTCTACGCCCAGGGTCCGGCTGAGCTGCGAATTGTGTCGCCAACGGAAGGTAAAATGTGACAAGCTTAACCCCTGCACAAATTGCCAGCGTTTTGGCGCTACATGTGTCCCTGTTGAACGGGCGCGACTGCCGCGAGGCCGGTCTGGAAGGGTAACAGGGAAGAATGCTTCTGGACAGGACACGGGCTTGAAAGAGCGTGTGGATAGACTTGAGGAGCTACTTCGAGAATTGACTGAGCATGATGACGGCACAATTGCCGCACAGATCGGTTCTAGTTGCTCGGGTAGTTCAGATCAAGCTCCTGTTAATAAGCAAGTGAATAAATACGAGCCTGGAACGGAGAATTCGCTTTGGGCGAACATTCTAAAAGAGGTAGGATGTCTCTATTTGGACTTCATTCAGCAAACATACCTCTAATGGCATGATAACAGATACATGACATACGTGGTACTAAGAGTTATGGCTCAACCAGTGAGGGGCGTACTTCCAACAATGATGCTATGAAATTTAGGGAGCTTCTTGCAACACCAAGGGCACTTGGTTCGTCAGTGGCCACTAGAGAGCCAGCTCTCACTATACAGGCCGAGAAAGCCCTAGTTCAAGTCTTTTTGGAGAAAGTTGATCCGGCCTTCAAAATACTACATGCCCCCTCACTCAAAGCGTTTCTACTCGATGGCAATCCCTACCTCGACTATGAGCCGGGACATATGGCTCCGGCCGCACTCTCTTCTGCAATCTACTTTGCAGCAGCATGTAGCATTACGGAAGATGAGAGTAAAAAGCTACTTGATTGTAACAAAAGCTGGCTAGTGGCACGGTATCAGCAAGAGTCAGAATCAGCCTTAGCAAAAGCGGACTTCATGACCAGTAACGACTTGACTATCCTGCAAGCTTTTGTTCTGTTTTTGGTAAGTGTCCATGCTACCTACTATTCCTATTCTTAGAGAAACCTTTCCAACAATATGGCGAATTCAGCTAGCTTCGCGGTCTCAAGACTCGAGTCGACGAGTCTGGACTATGCTGAGCATGGCCCTCCGTATTGCCCAAGCGCTTTTACTTCACCTCCCCGAGCTACCGTTTCCAGTACGACCATTTGAACGCGAGCTGCGTCGACGTTTATGGACCTACATTGGCTTTCTTGATATACAGTGCTCCTTAGAGCGCGCATCGGAGCCCATGATGCAAGCAAAATGGGTGGAGTCGAACCCACCCTCAAACGTCAATGATTGCGACATAAGTTTCGGCATGAATGGCCCAATCCAAGAATCCGAAGGTTTCACAGACATGACCTTCGCATTGATGACTCTGAAAGCGCAAAACACAGTTCGGCTGCTCAATTTCTCAGACTTCATCGACAAAACTGTGAGTTGCGTCAACAAACGTCAACAGCTCGTACTCGAATTCCAAGAGACGGCTTCAAAGCTACTCCAGAACTCCCAACCCGACAAAATCCCATTCCATTGGTACACGAGACAAGTAGCCGAGATCATAAGCGCCTCCTTACAACTAATCGTCCTCCGACCCTTACAACGAAACGCGAACTTCATCCCTCCCCGCGTCCGCGGAGACCGTCTTCTTCAAATAGCCGTCGACGTCCTGAAGAAGTCAAAAACCATCCGCAGCGACCCAAGAGGCCAGTCATGGCGATGGTGCGAATTCATGTTCGTCCCGTGGCATTCACTGGCCGTAGCCATTGCCGAACTGTGCGTCTGCGAGGATCACTCCCTAATGGAAAGTTTCTGGGGCCCTGTCCGAGAAGCGTACGAGAACCTGGCTGACCTGATCGCCGACTCGCGTAGAGGGATGGTCTGGAAACCAATGGAGAAAATCATGGCGCAGGCAGAAGCAAAACGAAACGAACTATTGGCGGCATCGAATGTCGTCTCATACCCGACGCATTTTCCTGGAACCGCTGCTCCCTTACAAGTGCCGGTTTGCGCTCAGATGAGTACGCAGCCCTCCGTGGCATTGTCGGGGGATATTATTCCAGGTACGGGCACTTATACTGAGGCTGCCCCTATTGTGACACTCCCAGAGACCGTTGGGCTTGGTCCTTGGCCGAGTGTCTGGGATGCGGTTGATTTTGGGTGCCCGGTAGCTACGAACGAGATGTCTTGGCTGAACTATGAAAACTTTATTGAGGACGTGTATGGAACTATGGACTATACCCTGCTATCCCATTAATCAGCAACGGCTTGGTTGTCTGACCTGAGCTGTGAAGCCGGTTACTCAATGACATTACGGGAGGATAGATATACTCGAATTCATGTATTCAATTATAAAAGTCTAGAAACGCCCGTCAGACTAAGCCATGGGTTATACAAGCATCCCTAGGAGTCAACACAACCGAACAAACCCGCCATATAGCAGACAGGGGCTCAAATTTCCCACTCAGCTACGTACCCACTCCATATAGTACACAGATCAACAATGGAAGGTAGAGCAAATGCAGCATTACCGAGGGTAAAAGAAACCATTTATGAAAGAAGATAATGTGTCATAATAATCGAACAAAAAGGGGATAGCAGCCATTCACCATTTCTACCTCATAACCCAGACGCCATGTAGAGTCAAGTTACATTAGCCCTTCCGACATTAACAGATTCATCTCTGATCTCTTAGACAAGAAATAGAACCCAACTCCACCGCGCTTTCGCATGAGCCCGATACATACGTTCGTGGCTGTGAAATTAGCAAGAAGTGCACGTGAACATGGATAGGGATGGGAAAACAAGAAAGACTCGTTATCCGAGCTAATAATAATATTGAAATAGAGAAATCAGAGGAAATGCAGGGTATTTGTACAACAGATAGCATAAGGATAATGTAAAGGGAAAAAGGGGGACCGGAGGAATGATACGACAAGTAGAGAGTGGGATCCAAAGAGTGCCGAGAGAGCTCATTTAGTAAGTAGATAGGTAGTACTTTAGAGAGAAGCTCTGACTGGATAATGAAATTCCTTGTTGATTTTTCTTTCTTCTTTTTTTCTGTTGGATTTAGTAATATTCCTCTCTTTCTAGGATCATAATTAACTCGGTGAGTTCCTTGCGTAGTGACCGGTTACGGTCCCATATCTCGACGATCCTTGGACGATGGCTTAGGAATACGGCCTTTTTCCATGATAGGCCGTCGTATTGCTGTGCGACTCGGTCCGGTAGATTCCTTGCAAGGTTGCGCAGGACCAATGCGGCCTTGTACGCTACTCCAACAGGTTCTCCTCTCTCATTGACGGGTGTGTCAAGGTAGAACCATTTACGAACGATACGTTCCTGGAGTACAGGGCGTTTTGAAGACGGCGCCTCAGCATCCGCGGGTCGCTCTTCGGGCAAATGTGAAGAAACGTGGCCTGCCACCATGGCAGTGTTAGCACTGGGGCCAGACGAGCGGAATTTAGTACAGTTGTCCCAATGGCAGGTGTGTATTGGTGACTCGGCTTTGTCCAAATTATAGTGACCTGACGCCTCACCACTTGTGGCAAGGTTCATATGATCTGAGAAAACATGATTGCGAAGATCTGTAGGGGTTTTAAAGGCGCGTTGGCATGTTTTGGATGGTTTCGAATTGTCTGTCCACTTGCAGAACAAGTAAGGGAAGCCTTGGAAAGTGTAGGCAGTCTCCAGCGGTCTGATACCCTTGATGATGAACCTGGTAGTTGCACCAGGTCCGTTGATGACCTGTGCTTGTGCGTTTGTGAAGGTCGTGCTGACATTCTTGATGAACTCGGCCGCCGGTAGAACACCCCCGCCAGGAACCCGAGGGTCTGCGAATCGGCTTTGATACGCTTGCCATAGGGCAATCTGCGTGATCTCACAATCAGCATCTTCGACGAAGCAACAACGCAACCATCGGGAGCTGCGCTCAGGTTCAGACAGTTCCATTAGGTCTTTCAAGAGCTCCGGGGGGACACGGGGAATTTCCGAAGGGGGCGGTGCCACTTTCTCCTCTTGCAAAACCGTTTCCTTCTTGCTGGCTCGCGCATCGTGCGTTAATAAGGCGATCATGCGCGGCGCAAAAACAATAGGAAGGTTGAAAATATCGATCAAATTCTCAATGTTCTCCCGAGAAAGCGTATACTGATACCAGAAGTCCAGTGCGCCGCTCAGGATATCTCTATCCTGGTCAAGCAGCGTGTGGAAATACAACTGTTGCAGGGTATCTTTTGGTACACGTTCCATTGCCCGGTTTGCCTCCTGGTCATCTAGTTCCGTTGAAAAATGAGTAAGAGCCCAGAGTGCACGAATAACGTGAGCACGGTCTGGTGACTCGAGACAGCCGAGCAAGGAAATCCAGAGTGGATCTTCAGGGTCAGTCCTCATGAACTTCGTAACTTCTTCCGCAATATCCAACGCGTCATTCTTGATTTCGTTCAGACGTGGCTGGTTAGGGAGGTTAATCAGAATGACCAGAAAGTCCCTCAGTAGTCCTTTGGCGTAGCGCGATACGTAAAAAGCGTTTTCTTTCAACAAAACCATATTCCGGAGAACCAATGTGGCCTCCTTAACATTTCGAAGACGGTGATTGAACTCATAGGTCTCAAGAGTGTCGTCTGGTAATGTTACAGGTATCTGTTTAATCTTCTCCAAAATATCTCGTGTGCCATGTAGCGAGTTCAACACATTGACACGGTCGGTGGGTTGTCGAAAATCATACTGAAGTTCCCATTTCACGCCAGTGCAAAGGATGGATATATCTATAGCTTTCTCCATCAGGGTCTCCGCAAGCAGTGGAAAACCCTCAAACTTGAATTTATCCCACCTCTGGTTGGAGATCTGCACAAGATGGTACAGCGCGAAATCAACCTCATCCGATATTCCTGATTGTAGGCCATAATGGGCGCGTTTGTAGATATGATCCGCTAGAAAAGTGTCAGTCATGCCTACAAAGCTTAGGTATAGCACGAGCCCACGTACACTTCGGTACCTCCAAGTATCTGAGGGGAAAATACGGATCGTAAAAATCAGGTTGCTTCGCTGACTTTCCTCTGTCATTAAGGCCAACAAAGAGGCCTGGTCTGTTTCCAGGCGTGGCTACTTCACGTGTGGACATCGGAACCTTCTGCTCCCTCCCTTCCCAACTATCGACTGTGGGATGAGGGCTATTTGAGCCGACGGAGTTGGCGTGAGTCTGGGACATTGATACTGGTTGTGGGGACTGTGGGTGTACGTGCACGTGTGAGCGTCTAACTGGCGCAGTATCTGGGATGAAGGGCTGGTTGGCTTTTGGGGCTTGCCGCAAGCCCTCTACTGACAGTCAACACAAGTTCAACGATTGCAAAGGTAGTCTCATTAAAGGAGAAAGGCATCACTTACCACGCAGGGACGTGCGTGGTGTAGCAGTACTCATTTTCAACTGGACCCAACCTAGTCGCAGCTGAGTGAAGGGTTACCTAAATAAGTTCCAATACTGGAGCTTTCTTCTTTACTGAGCTCCTTTGAGAACCCAGAGCCAAACTCACACGACTTGGGAGCAGTAGTTGTCGGGCAACTTCTTGTTGACTCCAGAATCTCGGCCTTCGTCCTGTGTTTGGATATAGTAGAACCCAGTAGAACACGCAAATCGATCGTAGGCGTTTGATCGTGCCTTCTCGCTTTTCCTTTTCAAGCCAGGGATCCGGTTGCGAACGAGGGGTAGTATAATGTCCTTCTGTAGAGACAGGATCGAATGTCGAGCTCGAACAGGTCCACGCTTTGCGTGAAGTCGTGGCTTTTGAGCGCGTTTCAAAGCTATCGGGAAAGCACTCTCAGTCGAAAGAAAGAGGATGCGACTGCGGCACGAAAACAGAAGTCCGCGTCACAGAGTATTGAGGAAAGTGGTGCGACGACCCTGCGCGGGTAATGGAAACAATCGGCGACAGGAATAATTGAAATCCGAACGTCAATGCTTAAGTTGTGGCCCTTGGTGGGCTTCGTAAACGCAACCTGATCGCTGATCCTGCGATCCGTCCTACCATTTCAGACAAAAGTCCGCGCAGCAGCCAACAGCCAGGAAGGCAGGCCTCAGGCGCGTTCGCGGACTATCTGTACCTCCGTTTCCGGTATGTTTGTCATGTTTGCCTTGCTGAGTCATTTACTGAAAGCCTTATTACCAAGGCAGAAACTAATCTTCCCGGATCGACAATCTAATCGCTTGATGTACGCCCTAGATGTCATATCACTCTACCGGATAGTTTTAGTGGAGCGCTATTTAAGATGTGGCAACATTTACTTTAGTTTTTCCTTACGATAAAAACTTCTCCACCATGAAAGTTTTTGTGTTACTAAGCTTAGTGGTGATCAATACTAGTACTTAGTAGTTCCATTGTATGCTGGGACCGTCTCGAATGATTGGCTGCTCCTCCTTAAGTCACCTGTCATCTACACAGTACAGTTCAGGTGATCTACTTCTACTACCAAGTACTCTAGCGCTCACCTTAGTCTAGCCCCAAGGCTACCTCTGCGCTTCAAGCCATAGTCAATTGTCATGTTTCACAGGTCTTTGTTTCTCATGTATAGTAATATCCTAGTATGTATCGCCCTATGCAACGGTCCCAAGAGGGCACACAGCTCGCCTGTTTATCTTTGGCGAAATTTTCTTATACAACTACTTCAATCAGTCACAGGGGTCCTTTTAATTGGAGTCATATAATCGGAAACGGTGATATTGTCTGCACTTTTGAAAGGCACGCAATGCCTGCACCTCTCTATAGCAGGGTTTTGCTGAAGGTCATGCGTGACCATGACATTCTTGTAAGAACTGGAGTCATATTGTATATTGTCGTAAACATTGCTAATATTAATACAACCACTCAATTAGGAGCATATCGATATCACACACCTTTTGAGAGATGCTATGGACCAGCTTCAGTCAAGTCAACATGGTCAAACAAAGCCAATCTTCGCTGTTGTCGTGAAGCTGCCATGCCTTGCGGTGAAATATCCAGAAGGGAGTGGATACGTTCGTTTGACAGACATACGATGGCTCAGGGTCCTATATCTAATAAATTGCAGATTCGTCGGTTTCAGGTCAAGTTCTCCTTAGAGCGTGACTTTTACAGTGCGCTTTCCATACTCAGCGATATCAAGTGCCCTTTCTCAGAGTCAAGCCCTGGCTCAATATCAGTAACTCGCAGATTGACTTCATCACAACCGCCCATGCCACCTGCACCTTACCCAGCGGAATCCTTTTCTAACCTGCTTAGACTAAATGGTATTCCTGCTCTGAGGATTCCACCCTCCCCACTATATTCAGGGGCAGTCAGTCTGCCGGTGATGACACCAGACCCAACTCCCGGTAACCCACTGCAAATCTGGTTTAAGAACATTGACTGTATATTCACCTAACCTGGCTTATAGGCACCCTGAACCCATCCTCATATACTGCCTTTACATGTCAATCAGCACCCAATGTCAGTCAAAGGCATAATTCAATCAGTGCTACCGCCCCTATGAAACAGTCATTACTTCACACACTGAGCGACGGTGCCTCAACTGGAGCCGCGTCAATACCTTCAACAGCTACAATTTGCCACGATTTTCAGGCTCTGAATCAGCTTTTACCTCCGAAAAGAGACCTGCCATTTCCCAAACAGCCGGCAAAGGAACCGTGTTCAACATTGCTGGCACGACCTTCTACCATCTCTCACACAGAAGACGCATATAAGACAATACCTAATCCAGGTACCACATAAGTCCTATCTGTTGTACAAATGCTTCGTGTTATTCTCCCCAGCTAACTCTAACTCTCCGTTAGCCACACGACCAACCCTTAGCAGACCGGTACTACCTCTAAAACAGATAGCCACAGAAAAGATGCAGAATTCAAGAGTTATCACACTCAAATACCGCTCATCTTCACAGTCACAGCCGAGCCAAGAAAAACTTACCCCTTGTCAAGTTTCCCACAGACATAATCTCACACAACCAATCATAACACCACACATACTACCAGAAACTACTCATCAGTCTCCACTTGTAATCCAGCAGGATACACCTTTTCTGAATCAATGCCCAAATACTGAGAGCAGTCGCCAGGAACCCCAGCATACTCTCCTCACAGAAGCAGATCTCTCAGTATATATGGCGTCGCCGACTGCTGACCGGACACGGAAGCTGGACAACTGGATCTGCCGGAACATCGAAGATGATGGTTTTTTGCAGCTTTGTGAGGATGTGGAAGGAATATGGAGAAGGTTTGCATTGGGCAAGTGACTTTTCCTTTGCTTCCTGTACAATCTTCGTCCCCTTTCAACTTCCCTGATGGCTGAGCTTCACCGGGCTTGTGTGAGTTCAACGTCTGTATAGCATAGTCGCAAGAACCTTTATTGCATATGCAAAACTTGCTGGCATTATCCTACATTGGTTTTTTTTTTTTTTTTTTTTTTTTCCCAGCAAAGTTTAATTAAACTATTATTACTCAAAATTAATCCAACTATAGCATGCTAGAAAGAAATAGATATCACCGGCAACTTGTTATAAATACATACAAAATCACCACTAAGCCCGCTAGATACCATTAGCCGTAAGATAGAAGAGGTTGTTTTCTTTTTTTCCGAGAAAAATAGGGGAGAAGGGAAAGCAAACTACAAGGCAGCTAAGTTACAACTGAGATAGATTTTCATGAGATAGGGCGTTCCCATCAGCCAAGAAATCCCCCAACCAGCGTTAGCAAACGCGTCTCAGCGAGACCGACGGTAGATCAAACCCGAAAAGACGTTGAGATACCCCTCCTTGGTGAGGAGAGTAAAGTCAACCACAACGCGACCTTGCGGTTGCGAGACAGAAGTGAGATTCGGCGAGGTGGCATTCAGGTTGCTTTCAGTCGAAAGCCCAGGGGGTGGGGATCCAGCATTGGCAGCCACAGTGCCTTCAGCACCTACAGCAAGATCTGCTAGGTGTTGAAGCGACCGTTGTTCGTTCGGGCCCATAACTGGGGGGGCTGAAGAGCCGCTCTTGCCTAAGCCGGGATCCTGGAGCTGGCTCTCTTGGGACTTGGTTCGTCTCCATTCTAAGAAAATACGGATCTTGGAATCCCAGCCGGGAGTGGCAAAGATATCACTAAATTCAGTCGCTTCAGCGCTCTGCTTCGCGCGGTAATCAAGAATTTCCTCGACCTTCTTCAACGCATCCCAGCACTCGTTCGCATGCTCTGGAATGACGGTAGCTTCCAGCAAAGTCATAGAGGCTAAAGCTAAGCTGTGAAGATCGAATGGCGTTGTAAGCCGGGACTGTGTGTTCGACTTGTGCATCTCATTGATGACTTCTACAGCGCTGTGAATTATTTCGTAGGGACTGTAGACATATATGTGGCGTTTGATCAGCAAACGAATAGTCCACTCAAGTTGGTTTTGTAGACTTTCAAGGAAGCCTTGAGATGTTGCATGTTCCAGTGTCTCATTCGATCTGTGGAAATCCTCGACTTGGGTTAGACGCTCAAGAGACGCTAACATGTTTGCCCCAACCATGCGGCCTAACCCGGTGTTTGTTTGGCAAACATTGTTCTCGATAGCGCCTAGTGTGACCATTTCCACAAGGAACGTAGAGTACGCTATGCATTCTAAGTTAGCCAAGATGATAATTCGAACGTGGATATAATTATCTCACTCACATCCAACGCCAGCGGTAACTAGGCCAACAACTCTTTCATCCTCACGACCACCAATTTCATACGTTCCAAGAATACTTGGGTCAGCTACGCTGATGGCATGCCAGCGAGACAGGATTGCCAAGGCTACCCAATTGCGACGTACAAGATTTGCTTCTGAATCAACGTCTGGGTCTGAAGAACGCTTGCTTTTCAGCTGGCCAAGGGTCTTGGCCAGGTCGGAGCCGAGTTTGCTGGCCGACTGGATCAGGGAATGCTTAGGCACGCCGTCCTTGAGAACGAAGTTGTCTGGTCCCCGGCAATCACAATCGAGGATCATTAGTAACATGGTCTGGAGCCAAATCAAATTAACTCCTGTCGGGCGGGCCAAAGCTGGTTGCCGGGTATAATACAATAGAAGGTCTTGTGCATTATCAAACGAAGTGACCCTTTCGAAGGTGCCTATAACGCGATCCATGTTGGTGCGCGTCACAGTGTACAAACTGTAAAGGAAAATCTCCTGCACCTCACGGCTGCACTGGTGTAAAATCTCGAGTAGGCGTTCCTTGGAGTGCGACAAGATAGGGAAGACGGGATGGATCTTTTCATAATAACTGTATGTAGTTAGTGTATGGGATTGTTTGGGGAGCTTTGGATTGCCAAATCTATGGTGAACTTACGCGTTGAGAGATCCCTCATCCACATCCAGGGGAGTCATGTCTTCTTCCATAGCTTGCTTAGGTACTTCTGGCATCTCTAGTCCATGCGGCAGCTCAGTCTCATTACCTGTCGTCCAGAATAAGTTGCCCGGTTTTGGTGCTGTACCGCTCACAGCGGAAGGGTTGTATGGATCGGTTGAGGTTTCTCCTGTGTCTTGTATAGTTAGTAGGGTAAGACCAAACACCATGGTTGACGGACACGAACCGAAAGCATTCTGAGAGCGAGAATTGAATTGCGGCTGTGTAAAAGAGGAGCTTGGAAGACCTTCGAATACAGAATAGGTCCGCTTGCGCCCAATGGAGCCTGCGTCCATTGGTGGCGAGAAGTCCTGATAAGCTCTTGGAGACGACACTTCGTTCATAGGTTGATAAGGCATATCGGGGTGAACTATCGCAGGCTGCATTTGACTTTCAAGGGTGTGAAGGCGCTCTGCAAGTTCCTTGATGTAACTATAGTATATCGTCAGTCGAACGCGACGGCATCATCAGTGGGGCAACGAGGGTGAATCTTACCCTTTGCTGGGTCCACGCTTCATGGGCACACGACTGAACTGACAGACAACCCCAAGTCGGCGACAGTTGGAACACGTTTCCACGCCGGATTCAGAGCTTGCATCACAGCGAACCTAGGAAAGCACGCGGTTAGGTCATCGAAAACAATGTCGCGTCTGGAGGTGAACAGGAGATGGAAAGTACCTTTTTGCGTCTGCATTCGTCGCAGGCGCGAGAAATCTTCGATCTTTTTCTCCTCGCGCTCTGGTCTCCGTAACTTAAGTCGTGATTTGGGTCGACACCGACTTGCTGGCTGGGGGTGAACTGTAGCATATGTTGCTGTTGATGCTGGTCCGGAGACGAGGGACGACCCATATCGCCGCCACCAGGGTTCGAGGATCCCAGCACCATCGATTGGCCATGGTGAACGCCATTGCTGGAACCGTCTGCGAGGCCGGGGCCGGAAGTTTCGCGGGATAGCTCAGCGGATAAGAGCTCGTCGGCTGTCAACTGGCGGTTCGCGTAGTACTGCATCGCGCCCTGACCCATCTGCGCCGCGTTGGGGGACGGATAGGAAGCGGTCGGAGGCATATCAGAATGCTCGCGGGAATTCATTGTGTCGAGAAACGATAATACCGCTCGGGAAAGGTATGGGTGGGCGTTGGAGCGACGCTCCGGGAGATGTAAGAGGGAGAGTGTTGAAGGACGGAAGACGCGAGGACAGCAGGCAAGGTTTTACAGGCTAAAACTGCCTGGGCGGGGGGAAGTTTTGAAGGGGTTAGTGCCGATTGCCCTCGGCGCAATTCGCAAGACTCAGCAAACATGATCGCGCAATTGAATTACAGAAAATGAAGATCGCTGAATCTGATGAAGGCTCGGGGACGAGAATATAGTTTCATACTTGGATGATCGCGCCGATGCGGAGGACCGGCTTTTTGTTTCTGCGTCCAGCGACGGATTAATACTATTTCCCACCGGCCCAGAACTCGACCAAACCGCATCATAGACGCAAGATTATCGGAGGTCAACGGCTTCTACGGGGCGAAATTATCATTTTGGTAGTTTCGGGCAAGATTTCTTGAGCCCAGGGAATCATAGTCGCCTCATCCGTCTTGTATAGGAAGCATTTAAGGCGTCGCTTTCGACCCAACGTCGCAGATGATGTCGATCCAGCACGATCACCACCATGTTATTTTATTATTATTACATTCTAGAGTCTCTTGAAGGCTATGCTTCTGTTCTTGTATGTGCTCGTAACATTCAATAGCGTCATATATGGGTGAGGCTAACTGTATAGTCCCTACTGTCCTGAGTAAGCAACCGCATCTCCAATTCTGACGATGCAAGAGGCATACTCATGCAGCTTTAGTATGCCTTGTGATATGGCCTTATATAGTCTGTGGAATTCTTTGGCTTGTCGATATCTCTTACCAGGAGCTTGAATCGATGGCTTAGGACAGCCTCACAGAGTTGAGCACAGACCAGACGACAGTATATTGAGAAACTGCCACAGACCTTTGGTGTTATCAGTCTACCAAACTGATTAACCCATAGAGCTACTACACATATGCTTCTATTCCATTCTTGAGTGCAGTATTGATGAAGCTGAGTACATTATACCAACACGCAGTACATTGCTTCAGGATATCAAACTAACCTCATACTAATACCCTTAATATTTCTTCCTTCTCCTCTATAACACTGTTTTAGACAGCACCAGAAGATTAGGCCATCGGGGCTAAATCCTGAAACAAACTGTTTTTGCGGTTCGTCAACGTCTTGATCTTATTTCGGGGTATACCTGATTGTCAATACATGGGATATACTCCGTACGTTACTCCAACATACTATCATATTTAGGTTTCTGGGAATGGAGTATCATTCCTTTGACTCAGTTGTTGATTGTTGTTAATTACTTTGAAACCGCCCAGGGACAACCCAGCTGGTCCCAGGAAGCTGGTGCACTCCACATGACACAAAGGGGTCCTGATTTTTGACTACCAGCCGTACGCAAAACCTGTCAGTCGGGCAATGTTTGATATCAACAGTGGATCCATCGTTACGAACAAAGGATCACTATGCAGTAAACACAGCTTGATTTCAAGGGGCCCCATCTGCAGAAGGAGCCAACTGAGACCCGCTCAACCCGCTGCCCATCGTTCTCAACACAGTATCTTTCAAACCTAGACTGCCAGTGGAATAAGCCCACTCGCTTGAGCAGTATCGGTTCCTCCCTTATCTGGCCTAAATACAACTGTAAAAATCTGTTTTCCAATAGACACGGATTGCACATTGAACTATGTTGAACTAGGCCAAGATAAGTAAGTGTAGCTACAAGTCTCCTCCACAATGCGGATATGGTCCGTTGACTGGGGCAGACCGGCGCGCAGTAGATTGAAACAGATCCACCGGGCTGTGAGGCCTTCTTAATTGACCATGTCAGAGACTCATTGTGGCTATTTTTATGAGCTCGAGAGCGAAACCTGAGACACGCACTGTTATGAATACTATTGACAGAACTTGATGTTAGTATAGAGTACATCTTATCTTGGTTTCTTCTGTCTGCCCTTGCCGTGGGCGGCTAAAGTTGCACCATAAGACGATCCCTAGGTTGAAGCGGCGGATCAACAAGTGGGACTATCTATAGACTGTCTGGGGATTGGTCTTGGGGCCCGGCGATGATCCACAAGTGGCCGAGTGAGGTATAGTTCGAGGCACCATACACGAAGTGTACTCCGTACCTGACGTACTAATAGGTTGGGTTTTCTGTCCTGGAAGTCAAATTTTGTCCTGTTGAAAAGGTGTTGAAGCTCTAAAGCAGTTTTTCGGGTAGTTTTATGGTTCTCAGATTCTCTTATGCTTACTACGTCTTTTAGGGTAAGTATAATTGTTGCGTGTTCTAGCCTCCTCGGCCATATAGGCCATGGCATTTATTACTATCGAAGGCGCTGGTAATCATCCTTCTGTCCGGCGGCTAATATACACCACATAGATGACTCTAATTAACAGATAGAGCCCTCGACTTTCCAAGTCTAGGACGATTGTTATCCATTGCTGGTTCTCAACTGGCTGACGAGAGAAGACGGAAGGTCCGAAGGGACCCCGTTTTCTCTCCGAAAGAAGTTATCATTGGTGGAGCAGCCATGCGCCAACGCCGCGCAGATCAGGCCCCCTCCACTGCACATGACTGGCCGGCAAGACCGCTGCAAAGGTCCTAAACTAGCAGCTGTGACGCCATTTCACAGTCCCAACAACCCGTGATGTCGCGATGGGAGATCTGAGAACCAACCACGGCAACCACGAGCGAATGACCAGTGATGTAAATATTTTCCTAGCCCTGACTGTTTCGACCTCTGATAGGCAAGGCACGGTTATCTTTGCTTTTGGCTTGACGTACTTCGATGTGCTGGGATGGCGGCGCTGACTCGATCGTTTAATGATGACTGAGCCTTGGAACGCTCGATCTGATACACGACGATACAATACGATACAGTTCGTAACTGTCGGCGCAAGAGAACTGACTTCACCTCCCGAGATTTATCGAACGGAAACATATAATCAGTGACACGGCTTGCAGTCGGAGAACGATGGCGTTCATGCCAATCGATCTTTATCTTTGCCCATTCGTGCCGTGGTAATACTGGGCAACCCTGCCGCGAAAGAGCGCCGGGCACTGAGGCAAAAAGTTCAACTCAAATCTGTTCACCGCATTGACAACCATGGTCCACTGTTGGTGCCTGTCTAACCACACTGATAAAGTCTTCCAATGACTGGCTTGGCTGGAAGGTTTTAGTCTGCATGGAAGATCCAAATAGACCTTCTAGAAGAGTTGACTGTAGCAGAGTGGCAAAGATTCTTGGGATCCCATGGTCATTGTTGTAGTTCTACAGGGCACCATTATAAACAGTCGGTCAATGAGATCTGAGACTATCTTCTGTAGTAGATATCCGGGCACACTTGGCGCTATCGGGTACTCTGTAGGTATTACCAGTACCTTTCTGAAAAGCAAATTCAATAAGGACGAAAACTCGGTCTAGAAAATCCACAGTGGTTAAGTATTCGCCGGCCCGGTTCTGCCCCAGAAATTTCGTAACAGGATCCATCAACCAGTGGACAGAGTTTGGTTCAGTCTCCCCAACTTTCCGTACCAAGCCTCTCCGTTCTCCAGTCGTTCAGTGTTCTTGTACCCTAAAACCTACCTATCCACCTTTACGTTCCCTAGGTTGAACAACGACCACTGACTAACCCAAGGTAAGTAACTACGTACCCTAATAATTTAGGCGTAAATCGCGGCTGGAGTCCCAAGCGATTGAAGAGTTTTGGATGGAAAGAATCGTTCTGTGGTAGCGGTTGTCAAAGACCCCTTGCATTGAATCGAAGATACAGTAGATGCAAAGCCTGTCTCTAAGCTTGGTTTATTTCGTTTTCTCACATTTTTTCTTTTTTTCTTTAATTTTTAATTTTTTTTTTTTTTACTTTTTGACTGACTGTCAGAGACTAAGGCTCCAGATGTGACCATACATATACCTGCATGCATAGATTTTATGTAAGTAGGTCTGTACCTCGTACAACTTTCTAGAGAATAGTCATAATATAATCTACAAATTGCTCTAGAATTCTTATTACGGGAATTTCTTTGGGCCGGACAATAATTTGTGCGTAATGCCAATCAGTGTGACACTATCACTGGCTGTGTTGTCATCGCCATCTTTTTGGAGTATGCCTACCTGGAAGGCAGCCACTACCGAAGAACCGGGACAGCTCCGTAGATGCAGCTGTACCAAAGTTTACAAGGAAAATTCCAACCCTCACAGGCCTGACTTCAAGGACTACGCCTTAATCAAATGGGAGCAGCAAAGGGAAAAGAAACAAAAAGGACAAATGGACTTCTAAGTGATGGTGTGTTTGTGTGCATGTACGGAGTATGTGCGGGTAGCTTCAGCACGAGGGACAAAGCACCTGTAAAGGTACAATACGGTAATAACCATGGATATTCCATGTACTGTGGAGCAGACCACGAAGCATTCCATACTCGGGGTGCATGACAAGTCCTCACCAGAAAAAGTTATGTCAATGCATGAAACATCCTGATCCTTGAATTGAATTAGGACAGAATTGATCAAGTAAAGAAACTGTGACAAATCGAAGTAGGATGCCTCAACTCGAATTGAAAGACCATGATATTAAGCATCGCTTTCCCCTCTCATCTATCTTTATTCAAATTAAATTGTTTCATTCCGATCTGTTCTCGTTTCCAGGTCTGACTGACTCCGGCGAGACACAGCCACCATCGATGCAACTCCCTTGCGGCCACCGAATTGTTCCACATTTGACCTGGGCCAATTCCGCCTTAACCCTGTCCATTTCACTTTTACCCCCCCAAGTTAAGTTGGAGTAAAACGGGTCCGAGTCAGCTAACATAACCTAACCTAACCTACTTCTTCGCCCGCTTCCCTCCCGCCTTTTCCTTCTCTTTCTCTTTTTTTTCTCCTTTTTCTTTTCTCCTTCTCACAGGGTTTGGCACACAACTCTGCCTTCAGATCGATCGTCTTTCCCCTTTATCTTGGCCGCCACAGCCGGTATTTGGTGTCCTGTCTCACGGCCGGCGCCAAACGGTGCGTAGGCTTTGGCCCCCCCATTTAGTTATTCTCTTCCTTTTTCTCTCTTTCTATAATCCGTTGGGTTCTCTCTTAGTCCCGATCCGACTGCCCCCCCCCCCTCCCTCCCCGGTTCCTGGTTCCTGGGTGTGCGCTATTCGCCAGGTACCCTAATTGTCTTGCATCCTCACCCTAGTACTTGCGACTCCACCTTGATAGGTGAAACGGCGTTTTCTGTGACTTCGTTCGGTGCATTGGGATATTCGTTAAGAGATACCCTTGCTTTGTTGGAGTTCTTCTTGGTCTCGGTCGGTCCGATCATCTTGACGGACCGCACACTCTACCTCGAATCCTCGCGTTGACGGCACTTTCGATTCCCCCCGACAGGTCTTCCTGTTCGGTTATTGAATATTTTTGAAAACAAAAAGAAAAAACGATTAGGATAGCCAGAGAGCCCTGTGCTGTCTACCCTTCGGTTTCCAATTTTAAATTTACTTCCTATATACTCGTCGCGAGTCATCGCATGACTACTACCCAGTAACCGCGATAATGCTCATTGATGGCGAGAAGTGGGCTTGTGAAGCTTGCGTCCGGGGTCACCGTGTCAGCAGCTGTCACCACAGTGGTAAGTTGATGGACCCCTCCTTTGTTGGGAGTCAGGAGGATGATTGACTCTGGAGATCACAGACCGCCCCTTGACCCACATCAACAAAAAAGGCCGTCCAGTCTCTCAATGCGCTCACTGTCGCGGCCTACGCAAGTCACGGACAACCCACACAAAGTGCGAGTGTGGTGACAAGAAAAAGAACAGCCACAAGCATGATTTAGATCCCCACCACGCCAATGACAAGCGGGATCACAAGCGTGAGCATGTTGGAGTTGGTACACTGGTTCATTGTTTCTGATCTGCATTACAGAGGACTCCCGTCCAAGATGTGGCTGCACTCATGGACAGCGCTGTACCTGTGCGCTGAAGAAGGAACCCCACCTAAATACTGTGCCGGAAACTGGTCTTCCTCCGCCCCAGCATACTATTCTGTCGGAACCACCCAAGAAACCCCAGTTGACCTCAACGAAGTCAGAAAGCACGCTTACGATATTCCGAGATGGTCACCACAAACCGGCTCATAAACACAATGACATGGCTCACAAGTGTGGTCTGCCTTACACGATACCCCGGTCTCATACGATCCACTCGACCTCCGATGTGTCTCGTCGGTCCGTCGATCAGATGCCCTTGACTCAAGCGGCCTTGATGAACGAGCCATTTGCGACTCAACCATTTCCGGAACAGCAGCCCACCCACGGTCCTCAGCGTCGTGTCAAGTCCGAGCATGGGTCTCCCGAGAGTGCCCCCGTCGTGTCAACGGAAGATGTACCGACGACAGTCCCCCCACTCGACCTCTCGTCTTTCTTCCCTCAGCCTCAGCCTATGAATAAACCCACTGAGGCCGAGCCGGTGTCCATTTCCATGGGAAAGACGCCCCTAAACCCACTCATGACCAGTGTACCGCCTCTTGATGTCTCGTCCTTCTCTACTTTCCCAACCACGACCACATCGCCTGTGAACACTATGGCGTTCCAAGATCCTTACAAGGAGCAGTTTTTCACGTCGCCGGACAACGATATGCCTTTGGGTCCTACTGGATTCAATGCACCCCCTGTCGATTGGTCAAGCTTCCCTCTGTACTCCTCGGATGTTCCTGCCGCGACCAGCACACAAGCTCCCTCTTACGCTAGCTTCGACTACAACTCCATGAGTCACGGTCTACCAGCTCCATCGTCGTCTGGTGATATTTCTGAAGTGGAGGATTTCGCACCATTTTCCGGCTTTGGGAATGCAGGAAATGACCTTCAGGATCTCGCCAGTGGGAGCGAAGGCTCAGATCTCGATCATTTCCGCATAAGCTCTGCGTCATCGTTTATTGGCCTTCCTCAGGCGCAACTCTTATCGTCAAATCAGCTGGACTCAATCAACATTGACGACTTCCTCAAGTCCGCCAATGAGTCGACAGCAGCACTAGAGCATCAACTTCAAGCCAATATGGGGATGGAACCCAAGCCACTCCCGTCGCAGGACGCCTACGCCATGTCGGACGCCCAGACCTTCAAACCGATAAGCACCCCTACGACGAGCCTGCCGATCACGACGTCTGCTGCGGATCCCATGTGGCCCGCGGCACTCTTTGACCCCGCCGCCGCGTCGGTCGATGACAACAATTTCTACCCGCCATCATGGGCGCAGTAGTACACTCGCGGGCAAGCGCAGGTTTTCTGGCTTTGTGGTCTGTTCGCGGCACGTTACCACCACCTCCACACCGTCTGAGTGACGACACCCACGTCTTCACGACCATGATGAGAGATGATGATAAATGCCTGATATTATTGTTCAATTAGCCAGTCCCAGTGAAACTATACTATAGCATTCAATCGATAAAGACTAGTGTTCATTCACGTTGATCTGTTTATGGCTCAACCCGTGCCTTGTATGTTTCCTTGGCTCTGTTTGGTGGTTTTTTTTTTGAGTCCAACAGTTCCCAGCCTACTATTGCCTAATACTTTCGCGATGCCCGGTACATATATACACACTCTTGGCTTGCATCTATAGACTTCCTGATTACTAGCTGCTCATAGACACATTGGCCCAGATCATTAACCAGACGTCTCAACGAAACAGTAGCTGGTCAAATGTAGCGACTTCGTAGCCCCGTATAGCCCCCTTGGTGAATTGAATCCAACGTGAGAGGAGGGCGTCCCTCGTCAACCGCCGGGACCGCAGGGCTCAGCTTTGTGTTACCTTTTTAGACTTCCGAACCGGGCTAGACTTGATAGATCATGTGCATGACCCCAATCGAGCACCCCTGCAGTGTAGCGGTGTACATACGTGCCCTATTTGAGTGATGTATTCCCGGTTTCCAGGGGGTATCCGGCGGTGAGCTGAAACCCAGCCATAACCTCCAACATGTGACCAGTATCAGGGTTACTGGGGACTCAAAGTATCGTCGGCTACTATTTCTAGATCCCTCTATTCCATGAATTGACAATAGCCCAGCTATGGACAAATTCCAGGCCTGTATCCGGAGGACACGTTACATCGACCAAATCGAATGGTTCAGTACGGTATAGATACATACGGCATCTGTCCGTACATACATAGATACATAGATACATTCAATACATACCAGTAAGTATAGCATGTACGGAGTATGTATGTTTTGTACCCTCGGTTAGTAGTAGTCCTCCTAGGTATGCTGTCTCTGCTCTATACACATACCCTTACCCCAACAAAACCAACCCTTTGGAATGCCACACCTCTCTCTCCCTCCCTGCTAACCGGAGATTTTTCCAAGCCGAAAAATAATAATCAAACTACAGAAAAACGATGCATGCCACGCAAGCCACCTACTAAAATAAGCAGGGGTTGAAAACTGCAGATTCACTTCTGATTCACGGAGAGTAAGGAAGGATAAAAGTAGAATGCAAGTTGAAACAGGTTACATAGACATACCCCAGGAACGTAGGTACCGGTACCCACAATGAGGGATTTATTTCATTGCGTCCATACCGGATATTTTAGTAAGTAGGGAGGGGGGGGTTTATGCAAGGGGACGAAGGACAAGCTTTTTGGGAAAAGGCTTGTTGGGTCTTGGCTCTGAATGGGAGGGTTTGATCTGTCGAGTAACCCTAAAGGTAACCATAACAACCGATCGGTGTGGGAGTATGTATGTATGTATGTATGTATGTATGGGTCTACTTGGGGTCCTGTGTATGATGGGTAGGGCTGGGTGGTTATGTGATGAGAGTTATAGGGTAGCGATCTATGTGGGTACATGCATGCTATATTATCCTATTGTGCGAGTTCGTTGTCATTTAGGATGATATTTTATCTTGGATTAGGCATATAGTTGTAATGTTTCTCGAAGACGTTTGGTAGCTTTTGTATCGAGTGAAGGATCTCTTCGTTCAACCCCCACCTCTTTTTCCTTTTTCTTTTTCGGATTACCGATGGTTGTGTTTTGAGTTATACTCCTTGAAATTTTGGCTAAGCAGCATAGTTCGCCAATTCCTTGCTTGTATGCTCAAAGGGACTGGAAATATACACTGCGCACCACGTTCGGCGATAGTTACTGTATCCCACACTTTGTTGCACAGTAAGACATAGCGGTACGGGATAGGATAGGCTGGAATTTCTCAGGCGGAGATTTATATTGCTAAGTGGTTCTCGGGGTAATGTGCAGTCGTACATGGAAGACTACATGCGCTGAGACATTGCCTTCACATGACAGACCTCTTGCAAACGAAGCTGCAGAACAACAAGTGCTACAAAATAACCCTCGCGCAGCTTGTGCTCAGGAAAAATTGGTGCCATAGCTCGTCTGCTACCGACACAATTTTTACCTCCGAGTGTCGCATCATGCTGACACCAACCTAGGTATTCGAGACCTCTGAACTCGGTGAAATAACATTGATCCGGCGCACAGCAGATGGTCAAGTATCCCATACTAATGCCTCTGACCATGACAGTCATCAGTTCAGCGTAACGTACATCCAGCCCACTGAGGTTAAGCAAACGGCAGCCGGCAGCAAATCGTGAGGAGATCTTCACGATCGCTTGCTCCGGCCTCAGTACTAGCGGCCGATTGCTCATTCCACTAAATCTATCGCATTACTATAAAACTTTCACAGCAATGGGCCTCGGTAGGGATACCTCCTAGAGTGTCGTCGGGTGCTCTCAAGGGTCCTGGATTAACCCCTGAAGGAAACATGATCATCGAGTCTGGTTTAGGAAACATGCATTTACCACTCGCCACCAAGATTCCAACCTTATTGACTTGAGGTTGAACTTACTCTCCTGGCTGGGTAGCTGACGGACAGATGTTCGAGAGTCCTTCAACATGGCCGTTGAAGCTCGAACCAAAACATCCTCTAGAATATGGAAGGGTGAAAAAAGAGTGATTATTATGTCATATAATGATGAGCACATTGTGATCCTAAAAGGTATGGGTAATCTAAGACTACCGTCAATGGAAAGGAGATTCTACCCGTATATAATCCCTTCAATGGCAATAACTCTCATGAGTACCACTGCATCTTCGAAAGACGTACCTCCGATACCCAGGTTGACGATGAGCCTGCAACCAGATTATACTGTGTGCATGCGATCCGCCACTTCTGGGGAACGACTTTTAGGTCTTGAGACCTCCATATAGGTCCTTGCACCTCCTTCCCGGACTAGCTTATGGTTTCACCAAGCGACCACGGTAGCTCGTTTCCACCTAAAATTAGCTCAAGTTACGAATAAATTCAGCACCGCCAACGGGCTCACATGTCTTATAACAGATATCAGCTTGATCACATCCTATCTGTGCATCTATCAGAACACATGAGTTCGTTCGGCGTATCCTCGGCGGCATCCTGTGCATCCTTTCTTCAGCCAAGACATGTCCCAATATAATGGAAGCAGCAGCACTAGCTGGCACGGTGGGTCGGGTAGGCAATATATTGATGGATTAATATAATGTTCAGCCTCGGTCTCACAATGAGCACCCAGAAACAAGCTGGCGCCTTTCTCTCCGTTCATTGTCGGGATTCTGTAATGCTCTCGTGACTCAAGTACCCTATCACATACACACCTTGTGTGTCACTATCTTCATCTCCTTGAGTCATGAGTACAAGACACAAACAGAGGGTATCTGACGGGATATGCCGTAGTGCGTTCTCGGGGCGACTGGATATATGGAGCCCAACGTCTGCTCCCTGTCACGCCATACCTTTCTCTAAAGTAGGCTGATGAAGTCCATGTGGCTACCACAGGACGGTTTATATACTGCGGAGTAATGGATCCGAGCAGGCCTTGACGACTTTGGACTGTTTCGACCCTATGAGGTGAGTAATATAATCCCCACGAACTGCTTTTGCTCCACAGTATAAGTGGGTCGCACTCTCGTCATCGCTTACATTTCGGAAAAGCAATCTCCGCGGGGCCAAAGTGAGCCCATTCGTAACAAGGAAGAAATAAAATAATGGTAAACATAGGTGCACTGTACCATACATGGACTATACAAGCAGAATTGCCAAATATTCAAGGAAAGGGACATTATTTCGGTGAACCATGTCAATGGTCGCGTACAAGTATGCGAAGAGAATATTTGTCATCTTCCTCACATCATTCGAGAATGTGTCATCTGTGAATGGGGTTAATCCCAGCAGCCGGGAAATAAATAGCCATTTTCTGTCTTGGAGGGGGCCGCTGGGCCGGATTTTTTATTCTGATTTTTCCTTTTTCCTTTCTTCCGTTCGTCCTCGTTGCGTTCTCATCTCTTTCTTCTTTCCACAAGATGCTACGACAGTACTCTTAACAGGTATTCGCTGAGAATATGTTATGGCCAACGATTTTCTGCTTAAACTTTACATATAAGTAGGGAAAGGGGCAACCTAAGCTACCTCGTCGCTATGTACTACTGATATTAATACGAACGAGTTTGCAACATATGAAAAACACGGGCCACAAGTAGACTTTTAAGCCCCGGCTACCTGCTCCGTAGAGATTTCTCCTGCATGACCCCTAAATACCACCCTCTACTTGCTTATGACATTGTTAATAATGTCAAGATCCTCCTAAAGTCTATCTCGATATTGCTCTTACTCAATCTGTTCTAGTCAAGTGGATCTCAATACTACGGACTACGCCTACCAAACAATGTGAAGTGGACTAAACGGTACCTGATCGTAATTAGATGGAAGATTCTCGAGGGGAACCGGCATTTTGAACATTGGTTGACATGTACGTAGACGTATATGGTAGTTGGTACTCCACTGATGAGACGCTCCTAGAAAAGCACTGAGACATAAACAGAATCTGATAACGTCCAGGTTCTCTGGTCAAGATTATGGAGTCGGCAATGCGGAAGTAAAAAGAGCCGGTTTGATTTGTTTGACTTTTCTCAAGACCCACTCGCCAAGAAGGCCCAAAGAGGCTTAGGGCCATATCTACAGTATGGCAGCATCTTGGTCGTATGATCCTATGCGTCTCTTTTCTGCTCATCCCTGACCCTGAAGCGGATACAACGCGCAAAATCTTCGGGATTCGGCTCTGCTGTCATTCAAATAAGCTGGCAAGCAATCGCGATCAACATGGGGCACTGCTGTCTAGATTCGTGTCTAGAATCTCTCCGTATGAGACCACAGTAGTATGACTATGGTGCCACTAAACCGGAGGGTTATGGCTCGAGTCCTGGACACATTGAGGCCAGGACTCAGCTGGGCCTCCTCCGATCGACACGTTTATGGATCTTATCCACCCGCACGGTTTGAACCTGCCAAGCGTTATCTGACAGTTCATAGGGAGAGCAGCACAGACGTAACCGAGATAGTAATATGCACAAAAGGGCAACAACGAATCACAACGCAATCAGCCAGCATCATGGCGGGATATCCGAGTGGCTGAGTTAGGTAATTTAGGCTACGGTGCCGAGGAATGATACTCTGAGATACATTATACTAATCGCGCCAACCCCTAGGCGATGGGAGAGTCATTAGTGGGTCCACTGTCTGGAGCCTGCCTCGGTGTGCGTATCCTATCATCTCAACTTTTCAGGGATCGGGCGTAGCTGAACTCTGGAGTCTGGCCCAGCTCCGTGGGATTCCAAAGTGGGGGCCGCCATTTCTCTGCTTTAATTTATTTTAATCTATCGCTCCAACAAACGGCAGGTCATTGGCGCTGTGCCACCTCGGATCGTGTTCGGTATCGCACGAGTGGTGCTGACTATGCAGGTACATCCGCTTGGAACCTAATGGCCTCTACGTATGAGATCCTAGATCGGAGAAAATCCCTCTGCGGGGTCTCCCTACGCGTGCTCGCTTGCACTTTAGGCTGGCGTACTCGTTGGGCCAAAATTG